GTCAGACTTAAGAGCAGACAGATGAAGGAATCAGGAAACAGCGAAAACAGGAGACTGGTAGATAACTGAGTGTGTAGAGGTGTGGGTTTAATAATGGGCTTATAAACATTTTCAGGACATTATTTCATGTGGTTTCATAGTAACATTGTTAGGCGGGTATAGCAATAGCTGTTCTTATTCACTCTTGAGAAACTAGAATTTAAGAGATGCCTTTTTTCAAAGTCATACAACTTTATATTAGCAGGTCCTTTTTTTCCAAGGTCACATAGCTCAGGGTTGCTTTGCTAATATCCAGCTGTGTTACCCAACATTCCTTTAGTCTTATTTTTAAGAATAATTGTTTTAACTCATAGAATGAAAAATAAGGCTTATAAAACACTTTGCATGGAGTTAGTCTCATTAGATACCAATAAATGAGAAATGTTGCTATTGTTTCAGAGCTACAATTTGAATAATATGACATCCTGCATTTATTTCCTATTGTATTTCAAATTTTACAGTATGAAGTGTGCTAGTTACTTGTGTATTTCCACAGGTGTGTTATTTCCAAAATGTTTTTAACCCATGTAAAATCTATCTTTACTCACAACAAATGCTGAATGTTAGGGAAGTTTATATCTTTTTTGTTTTATCTTTTAAAAGTTCATGACCAGAAATCACATTTTACCTTTTGAGTAATTAATCTACTTTCATACCTTTGTACTGCTTGTTGAAAACAAAAAAGCAGATAATAGTTCATAAAATACAGCATCTAGAATTGTACTATATTTCTTACAGTATTTCATTTTTATATTTTCTTTTGCTTAGATACTTACAGTAGGGATGGAACATCTTTTAATATTTGCGTTTTTATAAATGGCCTTCAGTAGATGTGCAGTGGTTACATCTAATATGATGAATTTATTTTTCAGTGATCTTTTTTGGTTAGTTCTCTGGTTCAAATAAGCTGATTATGTGTGACTGCTGGAGTCTTTTTAACCATTTGGCTACAGTGCAGAAATGTGATTCTTCTCTCAACTCTTATTATGGTACAGCCTGGATATTTCCTGCATTTGTCCCTGTGGCTTATGAATAGACAAATTATTGTAAAGCTTTTTTTATGTTGACATAGCAAATCGTTTTTCTTATCCAGTGTAATACAGCTTGAATATTCAAACAAACAACAGAAAATATTGTGCATATTCCAAGGGTATACAGCTTCTTTTCAGATTCAAAGCACTCAATGAGTGTACATTTCTGAAATAAATTTGGTTTAGAGCCAGTCTTATATTTAATAGGAACTTATGCTCTACTTTGAAAGATATAAAGGTGTTACCTTTAAATCTTTGCCTAGTGATTTGTTCATTTGTTGGGTCCTTGTAGTTTTTAATCTACATATTCAGAACTCTGAATAATATCCCTGCAGTAACTGGCTGTACTCACTAGTACTTGCAACATTTTGTTCTGAGAATCAAAGGTGGTCCTTTCTCAATTCTACATTGAATTCATTTTTCCTGGTGTCTCCTAGAGTTTTCCCATTATATAATTCTGGTATCGCCTGTGGCTTTTTAAAAAAGCAAGCTACTAGCAGCTCCTTTTCTTAAGCTTTCTGAAATTGCTTCAACCCAAGTAAAGAGAAAAGAAAGTTTATCAATGCTTAATCCTTTAAAACTAATATGAATCTTGGTGTTTAAGAAAGGGCATGGGCTACAGAGTGAGATTTAGGTTTGAGTTATGGATCATTCCTCCTTAACTATGTGACTGTTGAGCAGGTTTTTTAACATTCAAAGTACGAGTTTTCCTCTATACAGAGTATTAATGAGTCATCTCATAAAGTTCTGATTTTTTTATTTAACTGATACATAAAAACAAAAATTTTACTAATTATATAACAATGTTTTGATAAAATGTACACATTGTGTCATGTAGATCTATCTTAAATGTTTCTTATTGTGAAAACTTTCAGAATAATGTTTCTAGCATTTAAAAATGTACAATTGTTATCCATACTAGTCCTGCTGTACGTTTGTACACCATGACTTCTTACTCCTAACCATAGCTATATTCGTTTGATCATTGTCCCCAAACTTTCCTGTCTTCCACTCTTTCTAGCCTCTGGTAATCAACCTAACATTATTCTGCCTCAACTAAAATGAAATCAACTGTTTGATATTTTGCATATAAGAAACATAATACTTGTCTTTCTGTGCCTGGCTTGTGTCTCTTAACATGGTGATGTCCAGTTTCATTCTTTTTATGGCTGAATAGTATTTCATTGTGTGTATGCACCACATTTTCTTTATCCATTCATCAGTTGATGGGTGCTTAGGAGGTTTATATTTCTTGGCTATTATGTGTAGTGGTGCAGTGAACATGAGAATGTAATTGTATCTGATGTGTTTATTTCATTTCCTTTGGCAATGAGATAGAGAGATATTTTGTGATTTATCATTTGAGGAAACTCCAAACTGTTTCTCATAATAGCTGTACTAATTTATATTCTCAAAAACGGTATTTAAGGGTTCTCTTTTCTCCATATACTAATACTTGTTATCTCTAGTCTTTTTTTTTTTTTTAATAGACATTCTCATTAGGATGGAGTGATATCTCATTGTGGTTTTGACTTGCATTTCCTAACATTGATAGCATGTTTTTGTATACTGGCTGTCATTTGTGTTTTTTGTTTTGAGAAATATCTGTTGGAATCTGTTGCCCATTTTTAATTGGTTTGCTTTTACTTGTTTTACTGTTGAGTTTTTTGAGTTCTTTATATATTTTGGATATTAAACCCTTGTTTTGATGTCTAGTTTACAAAAACTACTTTCTCCCGTTCTAATGGTACTTCACAATGATGTTTGTTTCCTTTGTTGTGCAAAATCTTTTTAGTTTGATATAATCCCATTTTCCTATTTTACTTCTGTTTCCCATCTTCCTGTGTTCCTATGTTCCTGTGCTCTGTTATGTAGAAGTTCCTGGTTCATTTCAATACCGTGAAGTATTTCCTCTGTTTCTTTTAGTAATTTTAAATCTTACATATAAGATTTCTTTGTGTGTGTGGTGTTTTTTTGTACCAGGGATCAAACTCATGACCTTGTGCTTGCCAAGCAGGCACTTATGTCACCGAGCTAATCTCCAGGCTTTACATATAAGTTTTTAATCCATTATGAGTTGATTTTTGTTAGTACTGAGAACTAGGGATCTGATTTTTAATTTAAAAAATTTCTGTGTTCTAGAGGATGATTATAAATGGTACTCCTTTCTAGGAAATAGGTTTTAGTGATTGAAATGGATTATTTATTTATTTATTATTTATTTATTTACTTTGAAGCCAGTACATTTTGAAAAATCTCTCAAGGTAGTAAAAATGGTGACATTCTACTTGGATCTCAGTGTAGAGGAATCTACCATGCCTCTAATGATGTAGGCAGTTGAATGAATTCCCAAGTAAGTTTTTGTAGTTTATTTTTTTTATTAAAATCTAACGGCTCTGAATGGTCTCTAGCCACTAATTCAAGTTGGAAACATTTCACGCAGCTTTTTACACAAAGAATACATAGCATATACTTGGTCTGCCCTCAGGATTGCTTGCTATCTACTCTTTCTCCAAGCATTTTTATATTGTTTTCAACAGTTCAAGTAAAAATAAGTAGTGACACACAATTATGCATAATTCTAATATAACAGGGCATAAGATCCTAATGTTATATGATTTATACTTAAGTTTACTCCCTTGTATGTAGTTCTATGACATTTTTAAGATGTGGTCTTAAAACCAGTTTGATTATTTTTTTTAATTACTTTAGGTACATACACTAGTTTAATGCACTGTCCTTTTCTCCTATTTATTTATTGATTTATTTTGAGATAGGCTTTCATTGTGTATTTCATGCTAGTCTTGAACTCACTATGTAGCCTTTGCTGGCCTCAAACTCACAGTGATCCATCTGCCTCAGCCTCCAGAGTGTTGGGATTATAAGCATGCACCACCATCCCCAGTTAAGATAAACTGTTCTAAAACATCATGAATACTTTTGGTATTAATACAATGTTTCTTTTTTTTTGAAGTTTTGATTGGTTTTCTTAATGGCATTTCTGTCAAAGGAAGTTTTCTACTTTATTTACATTGGTTTTCTCTTACTGTTCTCTATATAATTAAAGAAGGCAAATGGAATGATGACATTCATGCAGTTAAGTCTACTCTCAGTTGACTGGTAGTGATAGAAACAGGAATAACAGCATTGTTATACATTTAATACAGGTGATTAATTGCTTAGGTGCATAGTGTAAATGCTTTCTCATGCAGATCAATAAGGAAATCTTAGTATTGTACTTTGGTAATTTCAATTCTCTTCTTAAGACATAAAGATGTCTAGATTCACATCTTCATTAAGCAAGAATAGAGATTAGATGATGATTTGATATTTAAGGCTGTATTGAGTTGTGTTATATTTAATGAAGGGTAGCTTTTTATTGTTTATTTTTTTTCTACTGTGAAAATGACTGATTTGGGGGGTCAAAGGTACTAAAACTGTAATACAACACAGTTTTTAATACAAACAGAAGGGCTCTGTTTTTATTAAACATTTTTGTTACATTTAAAGTTCCACATATAAGTCAGATGAACTTACTTTCCTCCTAATGTATCTGTGTCCTACAGCCCTCGATAGAAAATGCTTTAAAATTTTGTTTTCATGTCTAGATTATAAGTAAAATCACTTGTCATACATGAGTTGCAAAATGCAGACCTTCATTCTGAAGCTGCCTGATTCTCATTTGGATCTGACATATTAAAAAGCATATAATTAATGGTTGACATTAGTAATTAACATTAACTTTATGGTGCTTAATATGCCATCATTCATCCATCACATAACCAGAAATGCATTATGTCTTGACATAAAGGTTTTAATTATATAAAATGGTCCTTCAGTTTTCATATGATATAAATGAAAAAGCTAAAAACGTATTTTAAAAGATTTCTGTAATCTTTGGATATTAGCTGTATTTTCATTTCTTTATAGGAGCTTTCATCAACAATCGAGTCAAGAGCTTCAAAAGAAGGTAGACCTAGCTGTGCAGTCCTCATTATTGGCTAAAGAGCGCCACCTTGCTGCAGTTGTCAGTGCACTTTGGAGACACTTCTTTTCGTTTTTGAAAAGTCAGAGAATAGCAGAGATTGTGCCTGTCTCACAACTTGCAGATGCTGCTGCAGGTCAGCATTAAGTGTTCTTTTGCTAATTCCTTTTTCTTTTTGCAGGATGTTTGTCAGTATTTTCCTCCATTTTCTGCATAAAAAGACTTCTGCTTTATAACAGGATAATAAACATTTTCACAGCCAGAAAGATAAAGTGAATTAATTTTATTTGGAAAGAAATTGTAACTTTTGATTATGTGTAGTTCAAGTAGTTTATTTTCAGATTTTACAGGCACCTATCTAGATGTGAAATACTTTCATCACCAAGAGTCTGAGATCAGAATGGCATTGATATATAGAATGTTGTTCTTATTTCTGCCAGATTCTGTTTTAGAATAATTTCTACTTAATTTGATTATTGTCCTAAGGTCATGTGCTTAAGATTTAGGACACTCTAACTCCTGTGAAATTATAGGCAAGATTTTGAATACATGTGCTTATATGTAGTTTTCTGAAGAAATATTCAAAGGAATATTTTGCCCAAAATAGGTCAGGAAGTAGTGGAATCAGTATGGATATAGCATGTATTGAAGGAAAGATTAACAATTTTATGTATTTTAAAAATCTATCTAAGCAGATATTCATGTTACCCTGGTATGAATGAGGAAAGCTGAGTCTAACAATGATAGACTATAAAAGAGTAAATACTATAAATGTAGGCAAGTCTAGAATTCTGGTAGCACTTAATATTTTTAAGACTCTATGATGACAGACTGAAGCATTGTGACAGGACAGTGGTTTCTACCTACTGTAATATCTGTGAAAGTAAGCATTAATATTCAGTAAGTTGAAGCAAAACAGTCATTAATAGCCAGCATGACTTACCTCTCTCATATTCATCATCCCATCTGCCAATCCGTCAACCACAAAATATTGCATCATTTTACAAAGTAAAACGCATAGGTTTTGGAATGATTTGAAATAAAGAGTTGGTAGTTTAGGAGAGAATGTTTTCCTTCACTTAAATCAAAGACATCGAATACCTGTTTTTATAAGACTTAGGTATGTACCAATGAAATAAGCAGAAAAAGGCTACCTATTGTTACAAAGATGATAGACTGTTGAAGGAGTGGACCAAAAGTGAATAAATTTTAAATTTATAATATTTGAGGTAGTGCTAATTCTGTGGAAAGAAATGAAAGTACAGAAGGGGATAGGGATGGCGAAAACATTTAATTTTAAATATAGTGGTCAGAAGGCCCACATAAATAACATTTGAACAAAAACCTAGAAGAGGTGAGAGGTCATGCTAGCAGAAGACCACGGGCAAGAGCATGTCTGGTGTGTTTGAAAACCATAAGGAAGCAGAAAAGGCTCGTGTGGAATAAGAAAGGGCAAGAGAAGTCAGAGACGTGACTGAGAAGCAGTGGAGAGCAGTCTGTATTCTGCCTTGCAAAGGGACATAAAATTCTTCCTTTGGGGCTGAAAGCAGAAACTGTTGCTAAGTTTTCAGATATATTTTGGGCTGGTTAGTTACAGTGAATGAGAGGGCAAGTGAGAAGTGGGGAGCCTAGTTATGGAAATATTGCGGCAACCATGAAATAAGTATCTTGGGCTCAGGTGGTTGCAGTAGAGCTGCTGAGAAGTAGTCAAGATTTTCCATCTAAAAGTAAAGTGTTTTGAAGGTAGAGCTGACAGAATTTGCCAAATAGGTAAGGTAAGGTAAAGCAGTTAATTATGGGAGCCAAGAGTACCTAGCCACTTGGTGAGACAGAGAAGACTGCGGCAAGAGCACATTTTATGAGGAGGCTAATTTGTGTATTTGGATTCTTTTTAGATTTCAAGTATAATCTCAATAGATATGTTAAGCAGGAGCCTGAATACTAAGTCTAGGGTTCAGAGAAGAGGTCTAAGCTGGAGATGTATATTGAGGAACTGTCCTTGGGTGTGTATGTAGTCTTTAAAGTCATGAACCTGGATAGAATCACCATTAGCACAAATACAGATTAAAAGACATGCTTGAGGACTGTCTGTGCTGTATTTTTATGTTGAGATTTGTAAGATAAGGAGAGAAGAAAGGAGTATTGGTAAGAAAGAAAGAAAAAAACACAAAAGTTAAGAACGTGTGGTGACCTGGAAATCAAGAAGGGTATATGATCAGCAACACAGATGCTGCTGATCCGAGATGAGGCCTGGGAACTGGTTGTTGGATTTAAGAAGAAGAGCATCACTGGTGACCTTGAAGAGCAGTTTTGGGGTAGTAGAGAATTCGCGGGATGATGGAAGATGATTCAAGAGAATATGTGAAAAGGATTGCAGCCAACAAATATTAGTAAATCTTCTTTAATGTCACTCTATAAGAAAAATAGCCAGAAAAAGAAGTAGAGTCCGAGAGAAGGGTTTGTTTTTTATTTTAAATAATGTGGGAGAAATTTCAGCATATTTATAATGATTGATGAAAATGTTCTGTGGTGAAGCAAAATTTGATGATGTGAGAAAGTTACTTTAGTGTTTTCTGAAAGACAAGATGGGATCCCGTAGAGGACGAGGCCTCAGATCACGGTAGTGGCAGAAGAGATGACCGAGTGAACGGGCCGCAGGCTGCTGGGTAAATACGCTGCAGCTTGTGGGAGTTTTTGTTCTTCTCATTTCCTCATAAAACAGTGCAGCTAAGGGGGTGGTTGGGGTGAGGGGTGGCTGTAAAGTGCTATCTAAAGTTGTTAACTGAACATGAAGAAGGGGAGGATGTGCCAGCAGTTGATGAAGAAAGGCTGTATGCAGTAGTCTCCTTGGAGAATGGACTAAGGAATGTACTATCAATGGTGGCCAGTTTTAATGGGCTATTTGAAGTTTGTACTCATAAATGTGACTATTCACATTTTTGTTCTCCATCATTTGGTGCAAGTGGGGAAAAAGCCAAGAATTAGAATTAAATAAGTGAAAGTACAGTGAATCAAGAAAAGAGCAAAAGGGCTGGGAATATAGCTCAGCAGCACAGCCCCTGCTTGGCAAGCACAAGGTCCTGAGTTCGATTTCCAGCGCGCGTGCCCCCCCGGCCCCCACAACAAAAGGAGCAAGGGAATTGGTGGTTTACACCATAAGCATAGTAATGGACTGCCTAAACAGACACAGGAAGGCATAAGGGAAAATATGTAGGATCTGTAGGTTGTAGGTCCTGATGAAATCAAAGACTTGCTGAGTGGGGCAAAGCAAACATCATCAAAAAATGGGGCAAGGGCCAGAGATACAGCTCAATGGCACAGCACCTGCCTGGCAAACACAAAGTCCTGAGTGCGAGTCCCAATGCCCCCCACCCCAAAAGTGGGCTACATAAAAGTCACTGTAGAGGGATTTTATTAGTAATGTCAGGGTTACTGGGTAGCACCATCGTGGGAGGGAGTGGATAAAGCAGAATGGAAGATCAGAGTCATTGGAAAAGAGGATTCCTAAGAAATCTAGAGTTAATCTGCTAAAAGAAAAGTCACAGGGGCTTATGACAGGCTTGCTTTGGAAGAGAATAACAGTGAGCTCAGTCTATAAAGACAAGGAAAGAGGTGAAGTAGGAGACTAGTGAGGGCAACAAGCAGAGATCACTGCTGGTGAAATTAATGGTAAACATGGGATGCAAGGCTGGGAATTTCAGAGGGAGAAGGAAGGAACGGTGTTCTAGAGCAGCAGTCTATGTGTCAGTGGTATGAGAGGGGGAGAGTAAATCACAACTGAGAAAGCTGCACGGGAGGCAGTACTTTAAAAATGACTGATTGAGAAGCCTACGTCAACACAGTATATATTGAGTGGTTGGGTTCCTGGGAATCACAAAATAAAGTGTATAAAGAATAGTAGTTCCTAACCTGAGCTCAGAAGGAAGCAGGGTATCCCTGACTGCAGGAGAGCATGTCCAGTGCCTACGGTGAGAGTGCGTGTCTTACCTGTGGTGAGTAGCAACTAAATTAACTTAATTGGAGAAGTGTAGGTGCTGGAGCTATTTTTAAAAGATCTTCGAATTAGGACAGCACGTTAGCAGAAACTTTAGGCTCTATTTGAAGGAGCCATTATAGATACAAGCTGACAGTATGAGATAGATGCTTCTCTATACCATTTCTTGGAAAATAAGATGGTGTTAACAGAAATTTCTTAAGATAGTATGGATTTAATTCAGTTTTAACTTTTTATTTGTTCTGTATTTCTAAACATGACATTTTGTAACTTGGTATTTTTATCACTATTGATATAATTTTGGGAAGATAATTTTGAAATTTTTTCTTACCATAGTTTTCTCTCATTTTAAATCTAGATTTTACTTTGCTAGCAGTGGACATGCCAAGCACGGCCCCTTCAGATCTTCAGCCTCAACCAGTTATATCAATAATTCAGCTTTTTGGTTGGGATGATATCATCTGGCCCCAAGTTGCAGCAAGATATTTAAATCATGTACTACAAAATAGGTATGTGCCTTTATTTCAGAGCTACACAATAACATAAATCCTGATAGATCTGTACCCTGAGAAGGTTAAGAATTTTTGTAAGCGAAGACTGATCATTAACATATACGTGCTCTCACTTTGGCAGTTTTTTTACTTTCAGATTATCTTTTGACTGTAGTCATAGGAAAGCTAACTTGTGCTTTGTAACTTCTTTTGTTTTTGTTTTTTGGTTAATCTGCTTTCAAAACTGTTTTTATAAGACCTCTGTTACTGTGATCATAACATGACTTTGCTACACTTGCCATTGTGAACGTCTTGATATAACATCATACCTTGGTATTCTACTGCTTTGAAACTACCCAAATTTGGTGTTTGACACATTTTGACATAAAAGTTCTGTCCTGATACGTGTTTGATTGGTATTCCATGCGCAAACAGAACTTGTCCATTGCCTTGTGACTCACTACACTTTCCAGCTGTCTCAGTTACTTTTCTCTTTGCTGAGACAAAATACTTGACACCCAAAGTTTCAAGGAGGAAAAGTTTATTTAGCTCACAGTTTGTATAGGTTATCATCCATAGTCAGCTGGCTTTAAGGCTTGGTAGAGTAGCATCACAGAGGAAAACCATCCAGGCCAAAGCAGGGCAAGCAGAAGGGAGCTGGCAGTAAAGTAGCCACCAGCGAGCGAGAAGCAGCCACCCTGGTCTTCTCTTTGTCCTTTACATTTTACCCAGGTGAGTGGCACCCTCTACAAAGGCTCCACCTACGACCACGTGAGGCTTTTGGAAAGACATCTAAACATAAGCCATAACAGCAGCCGAAACCATCCAGGAATCCTTGTTTTTGTACTTGTGTACCCCAGAACCAATGGCCAGTGGCCAAGGTACAATTACAGTTACAGTAGAAGTTGTGGAGTCATTATTGGGTAGCTTGGATCTTAACAGAGGTTCACCAACTAAATGTTTCCAGGTTCTGAGCTGCTGCCATCTCAAGTTAGATTCTAGATTCTTCTCACCTCAAACAAATGGATGAAATGAGAAAAAAAAAGAAACTGAAAATTTATTTGACAAATTAAAGTGAAGAGGGCAGAAATTGGCTCTGCAGAGTGAGATTGAGCCAAGTGAAGCGAAAAAGATGGAGAAGTAAAAATAAAAGTACATGCTGCATCGGGAAACGCAGCGCGGGCCGTCATGGGGAGTTACGGTGATGAGGCTGTCTGGGCCACCTTTCCTCTTAGGCTGTCCGCATCTCAAGGAAAGCCGGTGCTGGCATCCCGCCTCAGACTGATGTCCCGTCTAGGGTGTCCTGAAAACTGGCCCCAGCTGAATGGAACCACATGCAGGGCTTTGAGAACTGTTGTGTGCATGTGCCTGGGTCTTCGTAATGAACAGGGCACGCCTGCTTCCTCAGCCAGCTTTGCCATGCCGCAGCCTCCTGTCCTAGAGTGATCAGGAGACTTAAACACGAACGTCAGAATGAGGGGAAAGGAGATAACCATGCAGACCTCAGAGGCCCCTGTAGTTCTTGCCTAAGTGCCAGTCAGTGAAAATGAAGAGGTGAAGTTAGTAAGGTAATTCTTTTTTTAAGAGGTTCATTAACCACGGTCATTAAGCATGTACTGTCTTGTTGGACTTTTAATTGTAAAATAAGGGAATTAAAAATTTCAATAAAATTTATTTCTAGATCCCTTCTAGCTTGAGAATTCTGCAGTAATAATGAACATTTATATTAGCTATAAACATGTTGCAATTTGAAATAATTTTTATTTTTAAAATAATATTGGTTTATTAATAATAGTTGAAGAAACTGAACCAAAAAGTATTAAATAACTTGGGGGAAGTTATATAGGTAAAAAATAACCCATCTCTAGTCTTCTATATTATGTACTCATAAAAGACAAACTTCTGTTTTGGATATTTCAAAGCATTTTTAGAGGTGTGATATATGTAGATATACATAGTTAGTATAGGTTTGTGGTGCGTGATAAATGTATTTGTTGTGGGGAATTGCTATGTACATTTACCAAATCTTGGTCCTTTTCACTTCCTTTTCTCCTGTCCTTCTTTGTACTTCCCCATCTTTAAAGTACCTTCCCATTTCTACAGTCTACCTCCCTGTTTCTTACCATTCCTCTTTTATTTTGATCTTTAAGTTGTTTATACTTTGGGTTTCTGATATAAGAGCAAACTATGACATTTAGCCTTGTATGCCTGATTTATCTCACTTAGCACTATAGTCTCAAAATGTATCAGTTTTCCCACAAATGACTCAAATGTATCTTTTATGTTAGAGTAGTACTCCGTTGCATATACATTCCACATTTTCTTTATCCACTTATCTGTTGATGGACGTAGAGGCTATTTCCAAGATTCAGATATCATGAGGTGTTCAGTTACAAATACAGGTGATTTATACCTATTTTTTTTAAATTTACGTGTACTTTATTGTTAGGTTAAAATCATCCCTGTCCTCTTTTCCCTTTTTTAGAAAGTAAGTTTAGCTAGGTCATTGGCTTCATAGAAAAAAGTTGTTCCTCAGATTTCTGGAAGAGATTATTTTGGAATACTGTGTGAGGTAATCTTTGTTGCACGCAGATTGCAGAAGCAGAAGAGGAGGGCATGGGGATGGGATTGATCAGGAATGCAAGAAGAAATATATTCTGTCTTTAATGTTTTTTGTGAAATGGTCATGACTCCTTCTCTGTTCAGTTACTCCGAGAGCCACTGGTTTGTTTTAGTTCCCACCTCCTTCATTTTATGCCACCTAGCTGGTTATAAGCCCCAGCTTTTCTCATATTTCATTGGTGGTGTTTCTTTGACATTTCCTGTGGCATTAGTCTATAAGTATGCTATCAATGGAATAAGGAAAGTTAAAAGTTAGGATATTGCAAAAGAAAACAAGAGCATTTTAAGTTCTTTTTTGTATAAATCTATAGTACTCATTTTCAGCAGTGCATGCCCTTCATTAATGTAATCTTCTAAAAATAAGTGAGGTAGAAGGGTTTGTGAGAGATGTTAAAATTTGTTTCTTTACTTAATTTTTCTTTCAAGGAATATATTGCCATTTTAGTTTTTACTTTAACACTCATCAACTTGTTTTCACAGCACATTATGTGAAACACTTTGTCATTCAAGCAATGTATCTTTTCAATCCTCAACTATAAGATCATGGATCCGGTGTGTTTTGCAAATGTATATAAAAAACCTCTCTGGTCCAGATGAATTGCTCATTGATATAAATCCTGAACAGGCAGTTGGTAAGTAAGTAGTACAAACTTTCTTTTCATTGGAGAATGGGAGGTTGATAATCTGTTGAAAGCTTTTTGCTTTCTGGATTATTTATTATGTAAATTAAAGAAACAATTATGAATATAAATAAAATTTATTTCCTTTTGTACCCTACTTCTTTTTCTTGATATGTTGTTACTACATGTGACAAATTTTCTCTTCTATAAAGATAAAAGAACTTCTTTCCTTGGAAGCCAGAAGAAAAACTTGCTCCTCGGGTGACAATTGATTTTTTAAAAAAAAATTGTACAAAAAAGTGGAAATCTAAATAACGAAATATCATGTAAATACCCTAAAATGAGAATACCTAATTATGAATGATTTTCTCTCATTTTTAGTAGATATTTTACCTGACTTATGCCGTATTACTAGTCATTGAGTGATACTTTTAAAAAATACTCTATACAGTTCTGTCTTCTGTAGTATATCTTTTCTTAAAACTGTTGTACATAGCCATTTATAAATTTGACAAAGTCTGGCCTAAAAAATGCTCTAAATTTTCTTTGTTCCTTGTTACATCTGTTGACTTTACATGAATAACTTTAGAGCTATGATGTTCCTAAGTGAGAGCGACTTACTTCAGTCCTTAATTTTGTGGCAATTTGAATTTTAAAGGAGAGGATATCCTAAATGAGGAATGCTACATTGTTTGCATATATTACATACAATGTATATAAAATGTTACTATATAAGTTTATCTAAGAGACACCAATGTATTATTTTAACAGAAAAAGACTACATGGAACAGTTGACTGAACTGACAAGGTTAATATTTAAACTCTCAGAAGTAAAGAATATTTTCTCAAAGGCTCAAGTTGAATGTTTACCTACCCCAGAAGATCCTAAAAAAGCACTGATTCATTTCCTTGAGGTATTTTTCATTTATTAATTGTCCAGATTAGTTATAATTACTTTTCAGAAAATAAATTGTTTTAAATTGGATTATATTATTGCTCACCTGTTATTCTGAAATTCTGAAAGAAAAGTATGAATCTAAAGTATATTACAAAATATTCTTACAAACAGCAGAAAGTTTATATTTAGTGCAGAATAATAAAATTAAAAAGTACTACATAAGGGCTGGGGATTTAACTCAGAGGTAGAAGCGTCTGCCTGGCAAGTGCAAGGTCATGAGTTTGAGCCCCAGAACCAAAAAAAAAAAAAAGAAAAAGCCTTACCCAAAGTCAATCAAAACTGTGAGAATATTGTATTGCTGAAATTTTAGATAAGCATGTTCTTCAGGTACTTGGGGATTAGATTTATACATATAGGGTCCATAATAGTTCTATAACCATTCTGTGCCATGCATGGTAATCATACATACCAACTACTGCATATATAGTTTGATTGGAACTTTAAAATCTAGTCCGTCTGTTTTGTTTTATCTTTTTTTGTTTCTCCATAATAAATAATTTCACTCAAAATTTCATTTTTAATTATTAACTCAAAAGAAATATACTTTGTGTAATAGTATTTGTTTTTTAAGCCCAGTCAAATTCTTAATATTTTTGGATAGTTCCTTTGTAAGATATCTACAGTAAAATTTGGTTTATTTTTCTACAGAATAGTCTGTATTAAATACACTGAAAATAAATATACATAATAAGCTCTTTTCATAAGCATTAAGTCTTCCATTGGTTTCCATTTTATGTACATACATAAAAAACAATTAGAGATGTCCTCTAAACCCTAACAGTATTTAATAAAAGAATTTGCAGGTATAAAGCACACATTTCTGTTGAACACTTTAATTGTTCACTGACTCCAAGTCTCCGTCAAAAACTTACAATGTACTGAGAGCTGTTCTAGATCAGAAAAGGAGGTAGAAGTCCAGCTTTCCATTGGTGGTTTTCAGTCTTCCCTATTTTAATCCAGACTAAGTTAAGTTTTCTTTTTTCACTAAATAGAAGTTCAAGGGACTATCCATTACACAGCCAAATTTCTTTTTATCACAAAACAGACAACAGCTCCCTTCCTAATACCACCACCATTGTGCCCCTAAAAACTAGATCACATTATGTAGGATTGTAAAAGATTTTAAATATCAGCTATGTTGCAGAACTTTTACTTGTCAGAGAATACAAGTCATATGCTAAAGTTAAAACAATAATACAAGGCATTACATGCAGAGTACTAATTTGTTGATAGATCACTTTGTAGGTAAAGAATGTTTAGAATTTATCTCATGAAGATTTTTAAATGAATATGATTTGCTCAAATGCCTTTTAATGAAAATTAATAATTTTTTTTATAAGCCAGTCAAATTTAGCAGTGGGGGGTGGTATACCAACTTTAGTGACACTAATGTTAATAAGTTCTGATAACCCACTGCCATCGGACCAGCCGAAAATTAATAATATTAATGTAAAAGTATTAGGTTCAGAAAACATTCAGACTGAGTGATGGTAGGATTTCCAGACAGATATGAAATAAATACTGCATTTAACTAGAAAAGTGATTGGTGCCATAGTAAAAATGAAAACATGATGGTTTAGAGTAGAGCAGAAGGAGGTGAGGAGTTCCTTTGTAATCAGGGATCTTTAAGATCATGTCTAGGTTCTGTGAGTCACTAGGAAAGCTCATGGAACTTAGTGTATAGTTGTACTCAAAGCTGTCAAAACATGAACAAAGGCAAAAGGTACATGAAGTCTAGAGAACCCCAACCTAGTTTCTGAGAGATTTTTCCCAGTAAAGTTACACAGGAGGTACTTATCTCTTCCAACAAGGGACTGCAACAGAGAGATGAAGGACTGCCTGTCAGACAAGCTCGTTAGCAACTCAGTGTCCCTGGTTTTTATTTAGTGGAAGCTGATGTGTACACCCCACCTTGCCTTGTCCTTGCAGAATTACAAAAGGAAAGCAGGTATTTGCCATAAACTATATTGTCTACACAGATGTTTTAGGTACAATGAGCCATTCTTAAGAGAATAGTGAGAAGCCTGTCAAATTTAAAGGCCCCAAATACCAGCTAACAGAACTTTTTAAGGGTATCAGTATAGGACCTGCTATTTTAACACATTCTTCACAAAAATGTAGTATGTGTGTGAGTAGTTGTAATTAAGTACTAAGAAATACATGCCTTTAACCAAGCATAGTTATCCATACCTGCAGTCCAGCTACTTGGGAGGATGAGGCAAGAGGATGGCAAGTTTGAAGCCGTTTCATGAGACTGTCTGAAAATGAAAATTGTTCTTTAAAAAAGGCTGAGAATGCAGCTCAGTGGGAGGTTCTGGGTTCAACTTGCAGTGCTTGCCAAAAGAGAAAAGAAGGCACATCCTTTAGTCTCAGAAGATCAAAACTAAACAAAGAGAAATGTATATGTTTAGAATGCTGATGTTCAAAAGTATGATTCATAGATTCCTGGGAGTTAATGGTACCTTTTCAAGAGGTTCCACGAGCTCAAAACTATACCAACTTTTGCTCAAATGAGAAACTGTAGTAAAGATCAGTATTGTGTATTGTATCCCTTGTAGTTTACACTTTTATGCAATCACAGGACAGGGGAACCAGTTAAGGACATCAATAAAGAAGCAGTAAAATTTAACTTTATTATATTTTGATCCTTCAGTGTGTATACGTTTGGTATTTGGTGAATGAGCGTACGAAGTACACTTGAAGCGCCTTTGCTGCATTTCAAAGCATCATAGTTTCTGATTTTTGACTGAAAGTTAAAGTAATTACTTTTATCTTGAAAGAACAACTGACACAATATGATTACTCAGGCTGGGATATATGGCAGACATTTTTTTCAAAAATGAATGAAGAAAATAAACCTATCACTTCAAAGAGAGCTAATAGTGTATGTCGCTAGTAATGTAATTAGCACTTTTAAGAAAATTAAAATTTTGGAAAACTTTTATTTTTCATTGTGAGCTTAAAGAATTTTCTGTTATAAATGGTATTACGGCATATGATTTTTTTTCCAAAATGGATAATGAAGCATCAGCACTGGTAAACAAGGTAAATCACAATTTTCCAAAGAACTGATAGAGGCTTTTTAAGGGGCATTCATGAGTAAACAGTTGACTCGAAGTATAAGATACTTGAAATCCTTTGAATATAGCAGAGTACAAAATGTTCATTGACATTAGTTTCAGGTTCCATGCTGCCTCAGATTCCATGATTTAGCTTTGAATAGGCTCCAGAAAATACAGCTTGTCAAGCTATGTTATAAAAACAGAGAGAAATTTCCACAGTATTGAGAAATCTGTGAAAATTTCTTCCAGCTCAGAGTTGTAGAGTACGTATCTAGCATATGGAAGGCCTTTGGTTTAATTCCTAGTCCTACTGAGATAAAGAAAGGTTTGGGTAGGCATGGGACAGATACAGACACACAGTTCTGCCTGGCATGGGAGGACACACGTGTAGTCCCAGCTACTCTGTGGACTGAGGCAAACCTGTAGCTCTATGTGTTTTTGAAGCTAGATTTTCTTCATCTGTAGTATATGAAGTGTATGCAGAAATAGAATCTAACTATATTCTATTACCTACACAAAATTCTGGTATGGCATACATCAAAAGATACAACTTAATAATAAAAAAAGCTTGTCAAGAGTTTCATTGTTTCAGTGTATGAAGGGAAACTGATATTAAAAAGTTTGAGGACTTCTAATCAAGGGAGAGCATGGTTAAAAAACAAAAGGCAAAGAGCTAAATAGAGAAAAAAGAATCAGCCCTTTCCTCTGCATGTCCAGTGTGGGCAGAGAGCCAGAAGAAGATCTGAAGATCCACCTCTGCCTGTCGGGCGCCGCCATCAAAAGGCCACGTCCTGCGTGAGGCTAGAATGGGCAGAGAGAACCAGCAGATCCACCTTCACCTTCAGGAAGCTGCCACCGGAAGGCTCTTTTCTGCAGGCAGACAGCAGGAGCAGGGACACACAGCCATGTGCATCTGTAGGCCTCCACTGAAGGCCCTTGGTTCCCCTTGGAAGCTATCACCCACTAACAAAATCAGACAAACACACCCTGTATGTCTGCCAGCACCATGGCAGTCCCAGTGTAGACACAGGTGGAAAGAAGCAGTCCTGCCTCCACGCACCCCTGATCATCAGCAAAGTGACAGTGTAGCTACATAGATCTGGAGAAGCCCGCTTCATGTCCTGCCACTCCCTGTAAATCTAGAATTAGAAGAACCCAGATGCCTGTCCCATCCCCCTACACTGCCTAGCAGTAGCCAATATGGGAAATCCTTGGGGCCATCAATCAACTTGTTGGGAGGAAACCAGGAGAATGTCAAGACAAAGGAGCAAAAGGCAAACTCAGAGCCCCAGCCCACACAGAATAAAGTCACACATCTGAAATCTCTGAGAGGCTAGCAACTGAAGTAAGGAAACAACTTCATGAGATTGTAAAAGCAGCCAAATCAGAAACAATGTCTCAGGTAAAAGAAGAGATCACAAACATACTGAAAGAATTGTTCAGCAGGCCTAAAGAAGACACAGACAAAAAAGAGGAGCATAAAAAATGATGGAAACCTTGAATGGATGTAGAAAGGAAGTACAATGCATGAAACATTCAAAGAGAGATGCAGGAAATTAAAAATTCAATCAAAAGCTGGCAAAACCGCTTGAAAGAGACTGAAGATAGACTTTCAAAACTCGAAGATAGGATTGCAGCTAGGGTTCATGAAAGGAAAGATCTCTTAAAAATAACACGGAAACACTTCAAAGAATCAACAACTGGGATCTCATATTATTGAAAAGTTTCTCCACTTCAAAAGAAATCATCAACAGAGTAAAAAGAAAACCCACAGAATGGGAAAGAGTTTTAGCAGACAAAGGACTGAGACAAGTCTTCAGACAAAGGACTTATATCCAGAACATATAAAGAACTGAAATATATGAAGCCTCCCAAATTCAAAGACCCTCTCCAAAAATGGGCATCTGAGATGAACACACAGTTTTCAGCTGAAGATGTATAAATGGCAAATAAATACATGAAGAAATGTTCACCATCACTGGTCATTTAAGAAGTGCAAATTAAAACAGCATTGAGATTTCATCTCACTCCAGAAAGAATAGCTTCCATCAAGAAATCAACTGATAACATGTTGGTGAGGCTTCAAGGGGAAAAAGGAACCCTGCTCCAATGTTTGTGGGAGTGTAGACTTCGCAGCCACTATGGAAATCAGTATGGAAATTTCTCAGAAGACTAGGATTGGAAGTTCCATTTAATCCAGCTATTCTCCTCCTGGGTATTTTCCCAGAAAAACTGAAAAGGTCATATCACAATTATATATGTGCACCCATGTTCATAGCAGCATAATTTGTAATAGCTAAATCTTGAAAACAACCAAGATGCTGATCAAGCGCATAGTGGATGAAAAAGACATGGTATTTTTATACAATGGAATATTACTCAGCTATAAAAAGGATGATCTTGAGGCCTTCATAGGTAAATGGGGACAACTTGGGACTATCCACATTAGTGAAATAAATATATTTCGCTATAATCAATCGTATTTATAAATACGATTATTTATAAATATCATTAGATATAATATCTAATAAGAATCATTTATAAATATCACATTATGTCTGTAGTGTAAAAAATAATAAGAACTGTAGGAGTAATGAAACCCAAAATGTGTAATTGCTGTTGTAAAAAAGAGAGGAAAGGAAAGTACTCTAAAGAATATAACTGCATGTATGTTTAAGTGTGTAGGATATATAACCATTTTTGTTGGATTGTTGAACAGAACTGTTTTCAGTCTCGCTGTTTGAATGTCTACTTTGTATACTTTTGTAACTTAAACAACTATCTCTAAGACGACAATATGTAATTTATCAACTAGTGATTTCTTACTGTTTTTTTAATTATGTATTATTTCTACCCTTTTTCTATTTTTTTTCTTTAAAATTTCTCTTTTAAATTTTTAAAATAAAATTTAAAAAACAACACGGAATCAGGATACAACAACTCAGTAGCTGCAAGATGAGGCAAAGAAGCATAATTTAAGAGGGATAGGTATCAGTGAAGAAGTAGGGGTCAACACAAATAAAAGGATATTCACAGAAATAATAGAAGAAAACTCCCCAAACATGAGAAATGGATCTGGCATGCAGATAAGTGAGGCATATAGAACTCCAGCTAGTCATAACCAAAGTAAATTTGCATCCAGACATAAAATAATCAAGATCCCAGAAATTCAGCACAAGAACAGAATATTAAAAGCTATTAGAGAAAAAACCAGATCACCTGTAAAGGGAAACCCATCAAAATCACAGCAGACTTATCAACACAAACCATCAAGTCAAGAAGAGTTTGGAGTGAGGTGTTTCAAACTCTGAAAGAAAACAATTTCCAACCCAGATTGATCTAACCAGAAAAATTATCTTTCAAAATTGATGGAAAAACAAGATAATTCCATGATAAAGGACAACTGAAGGAATTCATATTTTGAAGAAAACAAGACATTATGGTAGCCATTGCTGATTTACTATCATCTTGTTTTAAAGTCCAACCATGCTGTTCTTCTGTTTTAACTGGTTCTATCCTGTTGTGGTTTATTTGACTTTATTATGTGTGATGGTATAGAGAACTTTTTTGAGGAAAATGAGATATTATAGCAGCCAATGTTTATTTCCTGTTATTTGGTTTTGAAGTCTTGTAATGATTTCATTCTTTTGAATAGTTTTATACTTTTTATTATGTTTGATATTATTGTGTGTGAAGGTATGCTCAACGATTTTAAAGAAGAGAGACCTTATGGTAGCTACTGTTGTCCAGTTGTCTTGTTGTGAAGTGCTATGTTGTTTGCTTTTGTCCTGTTCTCATTTGTTTTGTTCTGTTCACTTTTGTCTTATTAAAACAAAACCAAAAAAAAAAAAAAAAAAAAGGATTGGTTAGACATAGCTCTTCTCATTTGCTTTTATCCTAGTCAATTTGATTCCTTTTTCTTCATTCCACATTTTATTATCAGCATGGCAAATTTTAACGTTCCCATAGATAACTTGTCTTAAACTCTTATTTGAGAACATCTCCTACAATTTTCAGTAGTCTTTGCTTTTGGTCTACTTCACTCACTTGTGTGACTAAACCCTGAACGATGATGTGAAATATCTGCAAGTCTTTTGACTACCATCACCTACCTGCCCTGCAGTTCATGAATAGTCACAGTATGACTTTCCATTCTCTTTTGTTAAAGTATCATCTCTCAAGGTCACTCTTGTTCCCTTTACCTTAGTTAGACCACTTAGACCTCATTCCAGACCCTCTCAGCAGCACCCTGTTGTCTGGCATCTTTTGTCTCTTGGTCAGACCGCCCTCTGTGTTGGGTCAGTGCAGCCAGCTGCTTTCTGTCCGTGGCTTACCTAAACTCCTTCCAGACAGCCTTCTTTTGTTCCTTTCACGATGTTAATTCTTGCTTATTTTCACCTTGCTGAGTTAATGCTTGTGTTCATTTCCCTTCCTCTTTTTCCACCTCTCCAGTTTGCCATCTCTACCTGTGCCACGTTTTTTTTTTCTTTTCTTTTTTTTCCCCTACTGAGAAAGTTAAGCTAGCAGCTGATGGCTTATAAAAAAAATTATGAGTGGGGATCATCGGTTCTATCATAAAGCTGAACTTTATACGGGTTTTATTTGTAAGACTTCAGTGTGCACTTTCCTTGTAGAAATTTGGGGATTTTGAAATCTGAGCCAGACTGGAAATATGATGAGCCAACTTGTTTAAGTCTTGGTGCAATTAGTTTATAAGCTTTTTTTACTACAATTTCATGTGTGTTAATTTGCTGAGTCAGACTTTGTGTAAATAAGTATTGGTGAATTGATTTTTTTTTGTTCCTTTAACCTTTAATTATAAAAGGCAAGACTTAATTCTTTTCACTTGAATTTTAATTGCGGTGATCCTTTAATGGGAAAGTTAAGAATGAAGGCCTACGTGTAAGGTAGGGGTGTGTGTGTGTGTGTGTGTGTGTGTGTGTGTGTGTGTGTGTGTGTCTGTAAAGAAAAGAAACTTTTCGCAGTTTGTGCTGTATAAAACTTGGAAAGTTAAATAATGTTTCCTTTATTTATAGGCTGTTGGTATAACTTACAGGAATCTTCAGACGCTTTCTGATAAATCTGCCATGGTCACAAAGTCCCTAGAGTACCTTGGTGAAGTATTAAAATACATAAAACCTTACTTGGGGAAAAGAATTTTCAGTGCAGGGCTCCAGCTGACTTATGGGATGATGGGTATGTATTTCTAACATTATTTTGATAGTAACATTTCCTTAGGTTGGTTTGAGCCTATAGTATCAAGACAGATAGCACTATAATGATAAAATCATTTATCTTCCATACAAGTATAAGAATAATCTGAAATACAATGATTAAATTTAAAATAATTCATGTCAACGTACAAATGTTTGTTATATTTTGTTAAAATTATGATGAATACAGAAAATATACAAAAACCAGTTATTAGCAGTAGTTTGCTGTGCCTCACATTGTGAATACCTAAATAAAACAGATCATTTATTAATGTTTATTTATGGTTTGTCAGAATTAAAACATCAAAAAACTATTACTTCCATTTATTTTTATACTCCGTTCTGTGTGAAGGGGGTCAGGGGAAGATTTGAAACAGCATTAAGACATTTATGTTTTAAATCCTGTGTCATACAGTATTGTCTCTTCAAAAAGAAATCTTTTCTTTTCTGTGACTGTTCAGTGACAATAGGGTTCATTTTTCTTTAGGAAATCAGTAATTTGAATACCTTTGTTCACTAAAACCATGTTGCTAACCAAAATAGGAACTGGATAAAGGTACATGAGAAAGATTTTCTTAGAAGTTTTTAATATGGAATTTTAAGATTTGGGGCTTTTTTTTTATTTCTCTGTGACCAAAACCTTATATCTATTCCCTTTAATCTTGTGAATGTATAAATAAACCTGATTTAGGTTGTCTGAACCTTTTATCTTTGTTGTGAAAGATAAAGGAGAACGTGAAAAATGTATAAATATGGATGATGTAGAATATAGTGAAAGCAGTAGCTGCAATTCAGACATCTTAATTTTTGAGATGTAAGTGGAAATTTATTATAAATTTAACAGAGTAAAATCTAGATTAGTAAATATTTCAGCATTTAGGCTTATAATGTATTAATCTTTACAAATATTTTCTAATGCTTCCAGGTTTACATTTTGCCAAATTACATGTGTGATTTAGGGTGTGTCTTTACACTTAAGAACAGATGATTGTGTTATCAGCAACTATAAGATCGTATTTTCATTGGTGTGGAACTAGGGCTCAACTTTGTGTATGAAGAATTAAGGGCTTTCTTGCCCTGTCCTGCTGCCTTGGTGATTTTCAATCTAATGCAAACAGATGTGTCTTCTCTCTTTTGTCTAGGTCTTAAAGACTGGGAATAAACATACAGTTACAGTGTCACAGTAGTCATTAGAAATCAGGAATAGATAACTTATTTTCTGAAAAAAAGATAGTGCAGAAGCAGAATCTGGTTTGAAGTGTCGTGGTTGGGGTACCACAACCAGCTGAAGGAAAGAGTTAATCGCTGAAACTTTGTAATTATGTGTCTTGCCATTTCCTAACTAGGGATGTCTGCTGTTCACTGCAGGGCTGCTAGTGAAAGGCACAAAACTTGCATTAAAAAATCACAATCTGTGTGAAGGGAAGCATCTAGATCCTGATTATAATTCAGTAATTTATAAAGGCAGGATTGGTCCATAAGTAACATTCTCAGCGACCCCATTTATGTCCTTTTTTGTGAAGGATTTAGGAAGAGTGAGTGTTGTTTTGCTTGGATTTGCTTTGGCTTTCCCATTCTCCATCTCAGACTGTTTCTGTGCCTTTTCCTTTGATCGTCTCTGTCTTTGGTAATTCTTCCTGTTTTGTTGTTGTTACTGAAGATTCTATCTGTGACCCTATTTGCCCACCCAGTTGTTCCTTTCCTTTTTTACATTCTCAAGGAGACTTGGTTTCCTTGATTTATGTCCCCTTTGTAACTTTTTTCTATAGCTTATCATTTGTTGTAATTGTTTACTTGGCACCCCCTACTCACTTACTCAGCTGATGGCAGTATCTTTCTGACGTTCCATTCCTATCATGTTATATTTGAACACAAAGGAATATTTACTAAGTATGTATCAGGCACTGGATTGGGAACTGATTTAAGAACTTCAGTGAAGGAAATAGCAGATATTAAATAAATATTTCTGAAACTTAATAATTGTATAAAACAAGCAGTATTACATAATAGGTATATATATGCGTGTGTGCGTGTGTGTGTACACATTTTTTTTTTTTTTTTTGGTAACAGGGATCAAACTCAGGATCTCACACCTGCCAGACAGGCACTCACTTATGCCCTTTAGCTAACCACCACCCCCGGCTTTTAAATGTTTATAAATGAGCAAGATTATTTTCTGAAATAAGTTTTTAAAGCACATCTTAATGATTCTAACTCTATATGTAGAGAGTAATGCATAGAGTTTTTATAATAATTATCTTTGAATGGGGAGATTGTCTATGTATTAATGTTTTTCTTTATTTCAGTTTTATCAATAAGTTAAAATTTATAATCAGAAAAAGAGAGCTTATTTAAAATAAAACTACAAGTAAACTTTTCCCAAAGTTTTTGACTTAAAACTTTCTGTTTTTCTTCATCTATCACAGGCAGACATAAATACACATAGGTACAAAAATATTTTTTGCTGAAAATTTAAAAAGTTTAAAACAGCAGGGAAATACATATTACCTTTGCCTTCTGTAAACTCATAAAACATAAGATCTTCAGCAAAAGATGTTAACTATTGCAAAAGATAAAATACAAAGACAGCTCATGCATTTTTGGTTGGCAGGTTCATACTATATAACTAATGTACACTGTGTGACACCTACGGATGGTGTGAATCATTCCAAATGTTGGTGATCATAGCAGCTCCTTTATGAATATACCAATGTAGATTACAATATGAGTTCTCATATTGCTGTCAAACCTAAGTTTCCCACCTACTGAAAACACAAGGAATAAGTTAACTATTTAAAACATTGCTAAATGAGCATTGTGTTTCTTTATGATTGATTATTGTACTTCCTTTTTACAGAAGATTAATGTTGCTATTTGTTTTTAGAAGTGATTACTGGTTTTTTTAAACATCTGTATACTTTTATAAGCCTGTTTGTTTTCCTTCTGAGCTTGAATTTTAAAAATTTCTGTTTGAGGGAAACAATTTTGAGTGTTAGCATCTTTTTTGGTTTCTAAAACAGAATAAAATATAGAAGTTTATGCAGCCACTGTATCACTGTGCTGTTTAGACAAGCATTTAATCTCACTTTTTAATGAATGAGGCTTCAGTAGCAGTAATATATCTGTTTTATTTACATTTTTAAATAAAAGGTATTCATTTGTTCAGTTTCACTGTCACCAAATATGGCAGCTGACAGACTTCTAGCATCAAGGAAATTATAAATACTTTTTCAATAAGGAAGAAATCTGTTTCTCCCTTTTTTGTATGGTTTGGTTTCGTTTGGTTTGGTTGATTTGGTTTTGAGATCTGCTCTGTGTACTTCAGACTGGCCTTGAACTCACTGTGTAGCGTCGGCTGACCTCTGGTGCTCCTCTTGCACTGGCCTCCCAATTGCTGGGATTATCGGTGTGTGCCATCATGCCCGTGCTGTGTTTCTCTTTAGGAATCAAAATTTGTTTATTTTGAATAACTGAAAGGTATGAAAACTGAGATTCAGTAACATTGAATGATCATTCCATAGTGTTAAGGCTAATCTAATTTTCCTGTTTTAACAATGAAATTTAGTTGTACCTCTCCTTGTTGCAAATCAGATTTAGGCAGCCTATAAAATTATGCTAAATAAAAATATAACATAGAAGTTTCAAGAAAATAAGCCTATAAAATTATGTTAAGTAAAAATATAAGAAGTATCAAGAAAATAAATGTAGAGCTATGTACATCATTATAAGTGAAAATTGCTTAGAAAACTTGTTTTTCTTGACCTATAACAGAGAAATTTACTACAGTGAAATATGCGTCTTTTGACTCCTACTGTGTTTCTTCGTTCTACCTAGTTTAAGTTGGTCCTATGTGCTTTAAGTACACTTTATTTTCATGAAATAAAATGTTCTTAGAAAATAACTGTAACTGCTGTTGCTTTTCTTCTTTATTAGGAATTCTTGTTAAATCATGGGCACAAATCTTTGCCACCTCTAAAGCCCAAAAATTGCTGTTTCGAATCATAGATTGTTTATTGCTGCCACATACAGTGTTACAGCAAGAGAAGGAATTGCCTGCAGCTATGCTCACTGCGATCCAGAAGAGCCTTCCTCTATATCTCCAGGTATACTAAGTATGACTGCTTACAAATTTCGAAATAGAATCTTTGCTCAAAGTATAGTTTATGCAGATATTAAAACTGGGCAGTGTAAACTCAAGGATATATAAATATATATAGCACATCCACTAAAGAAGTTTTAAATTTCTTGATTGTGTTTGACTTTGAAAAGATTTGTAAAGGCAAATTCCCTACCTCATGGAGAAAGGCAAATTAAGTCTGTCAGCTGACGTGGAGAAGTGGCAAATTACAGAACGCTTAGCAGCTGTGGTTAGTATTTTCCTTTCCAGCCAGATTTGGAAGATGCTGTGGATGACATTGAGGTATAAAAGAGAAGAACAGATTGGAGGAGAGGACTTTGCTCTCTGAAGGAGCAAATATGTACAAGAGCAAGAGATTTAAGGAAAATATGACAAACTGGTGAAAAGCAAACCGAACTGGTTGAGAACCAAATAAAATTTCTCCGTAAGGTCAACATTGAACCTAGCCACTGATTCAATTCAGTTCTTGTCTAACGTGATTTGCGAGCAGAATTGTAGAAAGAAGCAAGTTTGTGAGCCAAGTTACCACTGCAGTTTGATCTGTTGTGACTAGAAATTCATATGGGAGGACCCTTATAATGGAAAGATTTATATACTGCTCTGATTAAAAATGTGCAATGTGGAGAACAGAAATGAAATACTTTTTAGGGTCCAGAGTGACTGTCTATGCAGGTAATAGTGCTGCTGATTGAAATGGAATTTCTGGAGGTGCAAGGATAAAGATAACAATTGGTTTGTTTGAAGTTTTGATTTCGAGGTTTTTTTTTTTTTTTTTTTTTTTCTCTTTCTTTCTTTCTTTTTTCTTTTTTGGAGATAAGGCCTTGCTATGTAGTGTAGGCTGGCCTTGAACTCACTACATAGTCCATGTTAGTATCAAACTTGTGGCAGTCCTCCTGCCTCATCCTCCCAGCAGCTGAGATTACAGGCATGTACCGCCATGCCCAGCTAGTTTTTGAGCAACTTCCGTTTGTGTGATGTGGAATGTCTTGGTAGTAATGTCCACTTGGTAATATTGATCTGTCATTCACTACTGTCTACTATTGAAAAAAATACTTTTTATTTTGAAGTCCAACAAACCTAAGGAAGAAAGAGAAAATAGATTTTAATTAGGTAACAAGTGCTGTCTTTCGTGGATGTATTTTTTAAGCAGTTTTAAATTTTGGAGTGGTTTTAAGTTAACTTTGTATGTTATATTTATTCATGGTAGTATTTAAAGTTTATTGTATAATCTAACAGAAAGAAAGGAGGCAGGCACAGGAAGGCTGATCTCACAGAGTAGCAGGTGAATGGAAGGGACTTGTGAGTAGCAGAAGAGTCTTTAGAGTGTTCTATGTGGTTGCCTTAAACCAAGTAACTCCTGTAACAGAAATTCTTTAAAACGGTTTGTGGTAAATTGCAGAGACTCAGGTATCCCTTTGAGAGAACAGACATCATTAGTTTCTTAAAGGTACCTAGTTCTGCTTTTTAGAGTTCTTCAAAAGTATTTGTGTGTTCTGCTTCATCTTCTGATTATTTGTGGTTTTCATTAGCACATCCAAAAATCAAAGCTGGTAGGTTTCCATTTTTATTTGTTTCAATTGTTTATTTGCTACTGTTTTAACAGCTTTTTTTCATTACAAATATGCTTTCAGAATTTATTAGGTAAATATCCATTTATAGCTAAAATGCATACTTAACCAGCAACAGTAGTGAAAAACATTTTTTTTTTTTTTCAGAGTATATATGTGCTTTTCTCAAGGTATTCATGTCTGGGGGCTAATGATTTGTAATTTTATTATAATCTGTATGAATGTAATGTTTACTGCTATGCAATAAAACTCTCAACTCTGTAACTTCAGTTTTTTTAGCTGAAAAATAAAGCTAGAGTAATATTAACTGAATGTGATTCTTTTGAGAAACTTAGAAAAACCTCTAAATAAATAATTATTATTCTGGGTCTTAATCTGCTTTCTTTTCTCCTTATTTTTTAAAAATTTATCACACTTAAAATCCAATATTATTCTCATTGTTTTGTTTGTTCCATTTTATTTTTTTAATTTTATTCCCATTAAAATAAATAACATTTATCACATATAATATGGAAATTTTTGCTATAATTCTTGTGTATCTAGACAAAATGATCAGTATCCTACATAAAATGACTAATTATACTGTGTTTGGTAACTATTTCAATGAACGAGGAAGTCAAGGTTTTCTGAGGATGAGAAAGCATCGCTCCTTTTCCCCTTGATCTTTCCCCTATTTCCTATGTCCATGCTCCCAAAATACGTGTTTGGTTGGATACAATAGCATATGCATTACCCAAGCTCAACTTCAAAGATATGTATGTATCTATTGATAAGTTATAAATGCTGACATGAATATTAGTCTTAGAGAATGTATTAGAAGTTTCTAACTACTGTTTATTAATTGAAAATGAGTACTTTTTGAAACTTTGCCTCTTACTGTTTCTTTCTTTTCTTTTTGCAGGGCATGTGTATTGTATGCTCTCAAAATGCAAATGCCTACTTGAATCAGTTACTAGGCAATGTTGTCCAGCAGTACATCGGGCGGTTTCTTCCAGCTGCACCATACGTTGCTGGTCTTGGACAGCATCCTGTTTTGTTGGCACTGAGAAACTCAGCCACTGTTCCATGGATATCACCTCTGAAGAAATGCATCGTACAGGTTATAAGGTACATGTGTGTGTGAAAAACAGACATATGTACAAATTATTACTCTGGACTAGAAGGGTATATATGTATCATCTCTGAAGAAATGCATCATATGGGTCATAAGGCACATGCATGAGTGAAAAATCGAAACATACACAAAATACTAATCTATACTAAGAAGGTATATATCTACTTCAAAAAACACTGGGATACTGGTAATTTAGAAACTTTTTTTCCTGAGAAATACTAAAAATTTATTAAAATGACATTTACTAATAGCTGCCTGAGACAGTATTCTAAATCACTTTTTATTTCTCTGCTTAGCTGTTATTTCCTTATGTATGAAATCCTGAAATTCTACTTTTGATTTTCAGACTTTTCAGTTATATTTTATATTGTGTGAAATATAATACTTACTTTTTATAAAAGATAAAGTGTAGACTAATGCTAATGTATAAAAATATACTATATGAAGTTCTATTTTCTTAGTTTACTCTTTATCGTAACTCTTATTAAGCAAATTAATAAATGAAACTCCTAGTTTTTCTTTTTTTTTTTCCTAGTTTTTCTTCTAAACCCCACATCCTTTAGCTGAAACATTAGACAGTTCAGTAACACAAATGATCTTTTCTTTGTCTCCATGCAATATTTAGTATTTATATTTATTTAATGTATTTGACATTAGCTTTTAAATTTAAGATTTTATGGTAAACATATTATGCTTATCTTGTATTAATTTTCTTTGTTTTTCAATGACCTGATAATTTTAATGACCAGATAATATCTGTCACCTCTCATTGCAGAGTTCTTTGCCTAACACCCTTTTCCTTTTCCTTACTATTTTTTTGTATTGTAGTTTAGTTCCTGTTTCAAAGCTGTATCATTTCTGTTCCCTTCACCTTGACAAATAATTGCTTCTTTACCTTCTTTTCACATCACACCATGTGTAACAAATGACCAGTCTCCTAGTACGTTCACATGTCTAGTCTTTTATTTCTGTTCAGCATAACAAATGCCCCAGGATTACTTTTCCTAAAATACTGTTCCGTTTTGACACTTCTCTGTCCCCAACTTTCATTGGCTTCTTTTTGCCTGTGTAATAAACTCCGCACTCTTTAGTTATTATCTGTCACTTAACTTTTCCCAGTGTATTACATGTGATGTCATACACAAAACCTAGTAAGTTTGGTTTATTTATTGGCCCTCCAAAATGCTTTATACTTTCCTACATTGCAAATTTGCTCAAATGATTTTCATTAAAATATCATCCTGCTGAGCAAAATTCTACTTTTTCTTTGTGAAAGGTACACGTAATACGTGTCTAAATATACTATGATAGTTCTTTACTTCTAAAGTTGTATGTTCTTCAGCAACACTGCAATAATCTAGCACTGTCCATGAGTTATTATTACATAAGTAATTTCAATATAAATAAAATTGACAAATATTTACATAAAATCCACAGATGTTTGAATCCCCGTTGTTAGCATCCTAACTGTATTAGTTGACTCTCCTACTTACTTAGTGTGTGTGGGGGGGGGGGGAGTTGTCTTCATGATTTCTAACTAAGGACCCAAAATTAACAATTCCTGCATCTTCGGTTTTTTGCTTTAACTTCACCACCAAAGTAATCAGTTCCTTGCCTTCAGAGACTGTGTTTTATATTCTTTTTCTTAGACTTGTACCCTGTACACTGTTGGTGCCCACCAAATATTTGTTTTAGGCATTAGAAACTCAGCAGTGAATGAAATAGCCAAACCCTACCCTCAAAGAATGAATAAAACTAATGCATAGATTTGTTGGGAATTACTCTAAGGAAGATAAATGATTACTTAAACATAACCCCGACCCTTAAAGAAGCTTATAATCCTTAAAGATTTCTTGCCCTGCTAGGACAAACCATAAGCTCTTTTCAAGTGTATGTAAATGTACAGTTTGGACTTAGCAGTATCTCACAAATTTTCATATTGTCTAGACTTTTTTAGAAACTGAGTAATTCTCACTTTCTTTATTTACTTAACAAATGTCACTGAGCACCATCTTTTAGCTAGGACTTTAAATGGTGGGACCAAAACGGTAAGTCAGATAAACTATTATCCGTATAATCTCTCTTGAGTTATAATACTAAAATTTGTGTTGCCTTGAGAGATGATACTAACTCCTCATTTAGTTCTCTGATGCAATTACCAATTGAAGTAAGAAAAGAGATACAACTAGAATGGGAGTCATTCCTAGGATACTTCTTTATTTCTTTGAAAAGATAAAACCCTTCCTATGTGAGGATATCTATGTGTGCAAATTTGGCAATAGAGAAAATGTTGAAGCATTGAGAACATGATTGAAGAGATCAGACTTATATTAGAAAAGGAAAATTCAGATTTAAATTCACCATAAATTTATGTAACTTAATTTAGTTTATATCTGTGTTGTTCTAGCATGTAGTAGCACACCAAAAAGATACCATAGTTCCTAAAATCTTGTTTGAAAATAGCATGATAAAATACACATACTTACTTTAAAAATATAGTTTATTAATTTGAGTGACAATGCTACTTCTTTTCAGGAAATCCTACTTTGAGTATAAAGGGTCTGCACCCATTCCTCGCTTGGCATCCATTTTGGCCTTCATTGTCCAGCTCTTCAAGGAAACTAATATAGATTTTTGTGAGATTGAACTACTCCTGCCTGGCATCTTAAAATGTTTAGTGTTGATCAGTGAACCCCAAGGTTAGTTTGTTTATAAACTTAATTTGTCATCATATTTGGTTTATAAGTTAGGAATCTACTGTGTTCCATCAATTAAATTAGTGGTTATAAAAGTATGTCATTATTTTATATCTGTTGCTCTACTGTGTGCTGGTTACTCAGTAAACACAAACCAGTATCTGAGGTTAAGTTTGATAAAGTGGTTTAAAGCTGACATATATAAAGATATACAATATGAAGTTCTATTTTCTTAGTTTAGTCTTTAACTTGTTTTAAGCAAATTAATAAATGAAACTTCTAGTTTTTCTTCTAATCCCTACTTTAATAGTTATGTATTTAAATAGTTATATACTACTTCCTTTCATTAGCCTTAAGTTCTCAAAGAATATTTGTTCAGTCTAATGCCAGTATGAAATGCAATTTATTAAATATCAAATGCTGAGAGATCGTGATTTTCTTCTATATAAGTTTCTGAGTAGGTGAGCTGATTTGGGGGAAACTTGATTCTGGTCCCTTTGTTTTGGTGTCATCACCTTTACTTGTGCTGATTGTTTTAAAATAGCACTCATTTAATCTCTACTGTAAGAATATGCAGACTTATACTCATAGTTCTATCCTGAAAGAATTTTGAATGAAATAGAGTATTCTATGTGTGTTCATCATTATAATGTGATTGTTCAAGGCAAGGCGTCTCAAAATGTTTCCACACAAATGCTGTAAATATTAAGATAAATGAATAAAATGTATACCCTGAAGAAGCTGAGGACAGTGCCCAAAGTGGTAGTGGAAAGCTCAAATAACGCTTCAAAATGTTCTTTTTTATCTCAGACATGCATATTTTTAACCCATGTTTATTTCAGCATTTAAAATGTTTATCCTGCTTCTAACCTTAGGTGTTTACCAAAAGCATCATGTTTATATGAAATGCACTTATGTTTAAATGGTTAATGTTTAGTAATGACGTGTTTACTGGAGCATATTCAGAAGCAACCACAAGACATTTAGAAACTTTGCCCTCATTGAAAACTTACCATACTTTGAACTTTAATAAAGCCTGTTATACTGATAACACACCTGCTGACAGAACAGTTAATACAGTAGTTCCCCTTTATCCACAATTTTGCTTTATGTGGGTGTAGGTACCTGCTGTCAATATTATTTAAAAGTAAAAAACATAAAATTCCAGAAGTAAATAATTCCTAAGCTTTACATTGTACCATTTAGATGTTTGTTTGAGGAGGTGTCAGTCTTTAATTAGGTGTCTTCAAAGCAGAATGGCATGGCAGAGGAGAACCGCTCGAGTCATAGGATCTAGAACATAGAGAATAATCAAGGAAAGAACTGGGAGGGAGATCAAACCCTTCTGTGATACAACCTCAGTGACCCTATCTTGCAGTAGCAACTCAGCTATGAACTGCCATAATCAAATCACCTTCCAAAAAAGGTGCATGTGTGCATGAGGCTCTCTGGGGACATCTAGAGGTAATAGATGTTAGATAGGCCATTCTGCATATTATGCTGAAATCTCACAGATAATCCCTTTGTCCAGTGTATCCACACAGTATGTGCTACTCACCTGTGAGTCACTTAGTAGTTTGCTCAGTTATAAAACAGACATTACAGTCCTTGTGTTCGGCCAATGCTCATTTTACTTACTAATGGCTCCAAAGTGCAAGAACAGGGATGCTGACAGATGAGACATGCTGAAACACAAAGAAGCCATAAAGTGCTGCAAGTACAATAAGATCACAGGATTATTACAGGATTGGGGTTATATAATTATTACTAGTATCTTACTCTGAGTACTTTAGAAATTAAATTTTGTTGTAGGTAAGTATATACACACATATACATATACACAACAAAATTTATCTCTCTCTCACACACACACACATATATGAAGGAAAAAATAGCTTATGTAATTCTTGGTTTTATCACAGTTTTGGGCACCCACTGGGAGTTTTGGAACATATCCTCTGAGTATAAGGAGCGTACTACTACTTAACCATAAAATACTCTGTAGTTTTGGTGATCGCAACATTTTCTCATGGAAGAGACCCTAGTTCAGAAGACACATTTTGTTTCTTACATCTACCTAGTGAATACATAACATGTTCAGCATAGATGGAAGACAAAATTCTCCATCTCTGAATTGCTATCTTTCTAGCCAAAAGAATAATAGAAAACATATATGGTGGCTTAGAGAAATTTTTCTATGGCTCCTGATGTTCTCCGTGTTTAAAAGCACACTTTGTGGGGCTGGGGATTTAGCTCAGCGGCATAAGCGCCTGCCTTGCAAGCAGGCAGTTGCGAGTTCGATCCCTGGTACCGATAAAAATGAAAAAGACCAAAAAAAAAAAGCACACTTTGTAAAAGCATAGGAATCTAAAGCTGCCACGGGAATCACCAATTTCTATCTCTAGGGGTATGCCTAAAAGTATTAATACTATGTCCATCAACCCCCCTTACATAGTTTGGAGAGTTCCACTTCTGGCTTGACAATATGAGGAGCTCTTTAAGCTGCTCGACAGCAAAAATGGTAAAAATCACTTAAAGGACACATTTTCTTCCTTCTGGCAATTCTGTGAGAATGGTATTAAAAGTATCCAGCAAATGGAGAATTATTTAACTAAAATACTAATTAACAAAGAGACCTAGAAATTAGTTGTTCAGTATAGCAAAAATTTAAGATACATAGTTTTCTTGCTTAGCTTCTTTGAAAGTAATAAAATAAAAAGAAAAATAAACAGCATGTATAATTGTTTGTAACATTTGTAGATGTAATATGTATAAAAGTGCTACTGATGTAATATATATAAGAACATGTTTATGCCACTGAGCTATATCCCTGACCCTCTATTCTTTTATTCGTGTCTTCTCTGTTATCTTTTATTTTAAGCATCATTGCTTTTTGTACATGAGAGGTCATTTTCTTGGTAGTCTTTTCCACTTGTTTTCTCACATCTGTTTTAATCATTTCAGAAAGTTCCTGGGTTTGACTTCTAACTTAATCCATCTCATTGAGTTCCAGACCTGTCCTGGTGAGCTGGAGGTCTAGGCCACACCCTACCTCTGCATCTTGCCATTCTTTACCTTCTTTTTTTCTTTTATTTTGTCTTTTGTCTTGATGCTCACAGGCTTCCCATGATACATAGCTCTCTCACTAGCATTGAGGCCTCTCTTTAAGGAGGCAAGGAGGTATTGTTCCTCAGGGATGTCCTCCAGATGTAGTTGTTTCTTTGTAGCTATCCCAAGAATCTATGTCTTATTGGTGTTTACGTCCCAGAGATATGCTGGGTATGAAGCCAATCTTAGCTTCTGGATGTGGGGGCTGGGACTGGTCTTCTGTTGGTGGAGTTCTCCAGAGTCCAACTGCTGTCTCTTCCCTGCTGCCTCATTCAGACTCTTAACATGGCCTCGCTGATTACTTCTCCCTCCAAAGGCATGTGTGTATCTGTGCACCTGGGCCTTGGGGTTCCCTTTGGTCTCACATTCTTTCATTCTTTCAGTCGGCCCCACCATGTGGAGGACGGTAATGAACGAGGCCGAGAATACAAACTCACTGTCTTCCTGCTGACCTGCCCTCTGCAGTGCAATGGAGGGTCACAGAGCACTAACTTACCGTCTTGCAGTGGGCCCCGCCATCAGTGATGTAATAGATTTACAGTGCTTGACTTCAAAGCTTAATACAAAGCAGTAGCAATCAAGAGAACAGTAACAGCATTAAGGATAGACATACAGATCAGTGGAATAGAGTTGATAGCTCAGAAATAAACTAATTTTGTTTATGGGCAACTTTTTTTTGTTTGTTTGTTTTGTTTTACACAAGGGAGCCAGAACAATTTAGTGAGTGAAAGATAACATTGTAGATGTGATTTGTGTTTCCTTGATGACTAATTATGGTAGGTCAAATGGAGAGCAGTGTGCAAAAGAATTCAATTGAACTCTTACTTCACAGTGTATTCAAAATTTAACAAAAGGAATCATAAACCTAAATATTAGAACTGGGTATGGTGGTGCAAACCTATAATCTCAGCGCTGGAGCAGCTGAGGCAGGAGGATTGTTGTGAGTTTAAGGCCAACCTGAATTACAAAGTGGGATCCTGTCTCAAAAACAAAAAAAGCTAAATGTTAGAGAAAAGTCTATAACATTTTTGGAAGAAAGCATAAGGATGTATCTTTGTGACCTGGCATTTGGCAGTGAAATCTCATATGTAATACCAATAGCATAGCCACAAAAGAGGGGAATAAATAAGACTTAGTCAAAATTAAAAACTTTTTATTTTTCAGAGAACAGTATTAATATTTGTAAATCCTACCTGATAAAGAACTTGTATCTACATTATATAAAGAACTCTTAGTAAGAAAAAAATAACTGAATTAAAAATAGAATGAGCAGTAGATCTCAATTGATATTTTTTTCAAAAAACATAAATGCCCAGTAAACATCTGAAAAAGGTTTTAGACATAATTAGTCATCAAGGAAATACAAATCACATCTACAGTGAAATAGCACTTCATACTGACTAGGTGGCTGTAGGAGAACTTCATATAATAACAAAAACAGGAAAAGATGTGGAGAAATGAGAACCCTCATTATCACTGTTGGGGTTATTAACAAGTATAGCCAAATTGAAATCAGTCTGCTGCTTCCTCAGATGGTTAAGAATGATTACCCTATGGTTAAAATGTTTACCATATGAACTGGCAATTCTACTCCTCCATGTGTGTGTATCTCCAAAACATGAAAACAGACTGATGTAGAAGCTTCTGCATTAAAGTTTATAACAGTAGTAAGTCCTGCAGGAAAAGGTTCAGTACATAGATTTTAAAATGTCGATATGCTCTTTCAATGGAGTATTATTTGGCCCACAAAAGAGAATGAGACTCTGATACATGCTACAGCATGGGTGAACTGGGAAACATAGATGGCGTGTGGAAGAATTTAGTCACTAAAAACTACTTATTTACATAAAGTATTTATGATTGTTAGATCTGTATGGAGACAGTAGAATAGTGGTTAGGAGGAGTCAGGTTAGCCAAAGGATACTGGATTTCCTTTTTTGGATGATGAAAATACTCTAAAATTGACTGGGGTGATGGTTGCATGACTCTGAAAATATTGAAAACCCTTTAACTATAAACACTTTTAAATGCATGATCATATAGTATGTAAATTACATGACAATACAGCTATTAAAAAATACTACCCAGTTTTAAAAAGATAGCTCCGTTCAGTTGAAGAAAAAATCATAAGATTTTTAAATGTGTACATTAACATTTAAAATAGCTTTATGTATAATGGCCAAAAAAAAATTGGAAACAGTCCAACTGTTCATCGATGAATTGTTCAACAATATGCTGTAAAACCATCCAACAGAATAGTAGCCAGAAAAAGGGATGAAATACTGATGCATTCGATAATGTAAATAAACCTTAAAACATTATACAAAGCTAAAGAAAGAAGACAGTTGCAAAAAGCGCATTGTATGATTCTGTATATATCAGATTTCCGAAATAGGTAAATCTGTACGTGCAGGCAGCAGATTAATGATTGTCTAACAGGGCAAAAATACAGAGAAGGACTTCTGGGAATGTTACAGGCAGCTGAGTTAGATAGAAATATTACAGGCAGTCAAACAAGGATGGGTCCTGGAAGGAGCCAGTGCAGAAGACCAGATACATTGCAGCCTTGAAGGAGACGGACACCTCTGCTGTGGGCCAGATCTCAAGACAAAAGGCAAAACAAGTGCAACCATACCCTAAGACTGTATAAACATCAAGGATTGATGTTCTCAATAGGTACCAGTCGCGTCGAGGAGCCCAGCAGTCACCAACACAACCCCCTACACCAAAGGCCCTATTCTGTATTCATGCCAGCTTGCTGCTCTCTTCCTCCCTGATTTAATCAATTTTACCTGAGCAGTTACACTCATAATTTTGTTGGTTGACCATAGTTCTGTCCCGCCTCATGTTCACCTGCCTTCTGAGTTCCCATTTTTCCCCACAATGGACGCGCCTCACCTAAAAACCCCTGGTAAAGGCAGGATCCTCACCACCCCACTCGGAACCCCTTCTGTATCTCTTCCCGACAGGAGCTTTCTTTCTCTCAATAAAGGTGTTCTGCTCTTAAGAAAGAAATAAGCGTAAGGTTTTTTTCAGGAGTAATGAAAATGTTCTGATGGTGATGACGTCACAACTTTGAGCACACTACAAACCATTGAATGCTATCACGTTAGCACTGTGTACTTGTACCTCAATCAAGCTGTTATTTTAAAAGCCAGTGTTCAGCAATCTACAAGGCCACTTCCTAGTGCTCTGGGACTTTCTTCAGTGAACTTTTTGCTTGTTTTTCAAGACGACATCTTTTTAAAGAACAAGTTGTACTGGTTCTAGTATTGCACTTGATAGAAGTTATGAAACTGTGTAGAGACAGTGTGCTGTACTTTATCCACTAGCTCCATGTCACCAAAAATGTCCACTAATTTCTATTCATTTAAATTCATGTTTTTGGTGTTTTGTGGTTGTGTAATAATGTATTCATTTCAGGGAATTTCCTTATTCGTGAAACACTTTTTCTTGACTATTTACTATTTAATCTGCCAAAAACATCATAACAAGACTTTAGTAGCATTCAAACCATATCAGGTTTTCTGTGCTTTTTTTCTGGATAGCTGCACTATTCAGCTTATGTCACTGTCACAGAATTCCTGATAAAACCAACCTGAGGGACGTTTTGTGTTCACTTGAGCAGCACATACACTGAAGAAGAGGGAAGCCTCGTCTTGCACTGTGGTTTGAAGGTCTCAGCCTGAGTCCCGCGTCCCCGTGCCGCTGGGCCCGGGGTGAGGCGGAGCATTCTGGTGGAGGGTTAGAGGAGGCCGCCACCCGTGCGCAGCAGAAGCAGCGGGCACAAGAAAGGTTGAGGGCCAAGCTCCCCTGCGGAGCTCAGCCGTGCGGACTTCATTTCCCGCCCTGGGCCTCCCTTTGAGATGTGCCGCCGCCTTCGCGCAGCCCGCAGGCTGACGGTGTGTTTGGTGTATGGGCCTTTACAGAACATTTGAGATCCAACATTTTTGTATGTTTAGGTGCAGAAGCACAGTTTTAAAAGACTTGTTCTGTAGTTAAAGACTACAAATGTTCTTTCTATACTTTGCTATACTTTAAAAGGAAGAATTCACAAATAGTTTTCATTTTAATATACAGTATATGTTTGGCTAATGTTAAGTGAAAATAAATTCTTCGTAGTATCAGGCTTGTTATATGCTTGTTATGAGTGGGAGAAATATACTTGCAAATTTAAAAATAATCAACCTGTTTAATTCTAAATCTGCTGAGTTTTTAAAGACTTTCTTTTGTCAGGATGTAATACTGCTTATAGATTAGGACACTGTAGTATTTTTGAACATGGACATATTTCTAAGAGAACTCTTCTTTACATGTGTGGTTTCGGTTTCAAGACTCAAAAATAGACAAACTTTTTAGGTGTACTTTAGAACACAACAAAACTCATAACTATCTCATTTTTAAAATTAACACACAAAAGCATGTACATATTTCAAGAAAACAACATATTTTTCTAAATCAAGAGTGCTAAAAGTGAGAATCCAGATGGTCAGTTGAGACACTGTGTGATGCTATAATTTTTTCTCCTAGTTAAAAGGCTGGCCACAGAGAACCTGCAGTATATGGTGAAATCCTGCCAAGTGGGGTCAGAAGGAGAACCTGCCACCCAGCTGACTTCCGTGTTTAGGTAACTGGAAAATATGCCAATTGGCAAACAGACGAATGCCAGCCATTTGACAGCCAGCATTGTTTGTTAAATAACTATCCAAAATATGTTGTGTTACTACTTGTTTATAATAATTCAGTCCTTGTATTTCTGAAAATAGTTTTGTTACCATTGTCCTATGGTTCTGAAAAATGAAAGCTCCCAGGGGAAGGACAGGAGGTTGTCTTAAAATTACTTGTGAATTCAGTGAGGAAGACTCACCTGTTTTGGAGAAGGAGGAAATGTGTCATGACAGCAGGTGCACAGGCCTTCAGCTTCTTGTATGTATTACTCAGGACCTAGTGTAAAAATCCTTGGTTTTCTGATTCGTTTTCGATGCTGCAGCCTCAGAAGATCCCCTTATGTTTACTTTGGAAAGCACAGGCTCTATAGGAGTTGATCTTTTGTTCTTGAGGATAACAATGCAAGGTGAACATTATTTTCTTCTCTTTCCTGCTTTGTTTCTTTTAGAGTCTGGTGCCTTCTGTTGGGACAGATTTTTTTTGTTGTTGTTGTTTCTATTAGTATTTCTCAAGGTTCCTAAGTTTACCTTCATTATACATAAATAACTCAAGCAGACTGGTACTTTAATAAATAATTTGGAGTCTGTTCTCTTCAAGTTGGATTTTGGATTCCTCAGCTTTTCTCTTATGAAGTTTGCATTCACCCAACATTTATAATTTATTTAAATTGTGATCACTTAATAATAGTGAGTTTAAGTTATATAAAACCCTAGGAAAGGGAAAAAGAATTTTATGTGATCACAGAGATCAATTTTTTAAATTTAAAATCTGTTGAGCTAAATGGTTCTTTTTGTTGACTGAAAGATATGGAAATTTTAGGCTTAAAATATATTACTTTTATTTGTCAGACTTTTTTGGGAAGTCAGGGGAAACATGATCTCATTGTGCAGTCCAGGCTGGCCTGGAACTGGAGCACTCCTCCTGCCTCAGGCTTGTGCAGACTTCCCGTGTGTATGATATCGCTTGTTAAGCTGAAGAACATAAATACATAAATAACGTGGTTTCACCCATAAGAATATGTTTGATCTACCCAGAGATATGAAAAACTAAAAAATAACCAGGAAGTCTAACTTTTTTCCTGTCTACACATTTCTCACTTGGATTTTGATGCAGTGAGTACAGTAAAAAGGCACTGGGATTAGATTTTTTCCCTTAATTCTGTCTTTAAGATCCAGACTTTTCCTGCCTGCTTCCAGTGTCATCACTCTGTCTTGCCTCTCACTGAAATAAGATTTTGTATTCGCTAGTTAGTGTCACCAGGAGTCTTCATAGTGCATATAGTTTTATAGCAGTTACTCTTAAAGTCATATTTCTTTTATCAGGTTATAGCTTATTGCAGCATAAATACCAACCCAGGGAAGTTTTCCCAGAATCTTTCTGTTCCCTGAATTTTTATTAGCACATGTTGACTGTACATAATGATCATATTCATTGTAGGGAGCTGGTATTTGTATATAACAGTTTTTTATCCTTTTTAAGCCCTTTTTCCTACTCTAGCCTCACCCCTCCTTCTGTCTTTTGGCCCCCAGAATCTTAAGTACTGTGTTTAATTTTCAGGCAGTTTATCCAAGATTATGGAATACAATATAGTTATCAAGTTTACAGCGTTTTAGAGGTAGTGGCAACTCTGAACCAGCACATTGTCATCCACTTGATTTCTACCCTCACTCAGTCTCTGAAGGATTCGGAACTGAAGTGGGGTCTTGGCAAGAATACTGAACAAAGGTATGTTTGATGATACTACATTGTTTTGGGCAGTGATTATGAAATTTGTATTTCGTAGTGTGGAAATGGCCTATTTTCCCATTCAAAAACTTTGTATGTCCTTTTGTGTTGAAAATATTTTAGCGCTCTATTGCCAGTTTTGTGATTGGAAACCGCCATGGCTCAGTAACAAATTTATCACAGTTCACACACCTGGTCACATTGTTCCTTTCTAAATGATCTTAGAAAGCTACGTATTTCAGTGATGCTGCTGTCTTAAACCACATTTAGTGTTCATCATTGAGAAGAGGTCTCCAGAGCTTCCAGTGTCTTCTTTTATAAAATACAGTGAAAAATTGTAACCTTTTGAGGGCTTCTTGATTTATTCAGTCAACAGTATCATGTATATCCAGTTAATGAGATGAGGACCCAACTGACCCAAGTGTTTTGGTCACAAATATGCACTTTTTTTCCTGTAAACCTATGACCCAACCAAAATAATGCTGGGCTAAGAAACTGAGTATTATAAGTCTGTAGTTCCAAAAGAGATTATTTTATAGGAGTCAGTTTCACAGTAGGATTCTTATATAGTAGAATTTTTTAATGAATCAGACATTAATCACATGTATATATGAGTGTATCTATAGATACATAATCTAATAAATACCTGTATTTTAGTTGAAGTTTTTTGACTGTATATTTGAAATCTTAGCGTTATGCCTATATTGATTAGAGCCTTTATGAACTAAAGAATCCTATCTTGTAGTACAGTAAATGAAAATCCTTAAAATGGAAACACCAGAGACCACCCTTACATAACCTTTCTGTGGCAGTGTAGAGCATCTCTTTTATTCTTACACAATAATTTGGCTGCCTCTTGCACTTTGCTAAAGAGGAAAGATGTCATGTCAATAAGCAGTCTCGTACAGAATGCTCACTAACATCTAACTTCCAAGCAGTGTTCAGATAGGAATGAATGAAAAGACCGGAGAGACTGTGTGAGCCATCCTAACTTTGTATGTTTTGGGGACAAATACCCTGCTGTGGTCCTGTTTTGTGCAGCCACACAAGCCCAAGAAAGGGTTGGTTTTAATAATTCTGAATACATCATTTAGAATAACAAAGTAACTATAGGACAAAATAAATGCATCTGAACTGTAGGAAAAAGCTACACAATCTAATAGGAAAAGCAGTATTTTATTTTCAAACTTTGTTACTTCTGTGAATAAAATGAAGGTACATGCTAACATTATTTTATAGATCTTCTTTATAATTACAAATTTTTCATCTTGTGAACAAGCTTTCCCATTGTAATCATACCATCACTGACCTTAAGCAATATTCCGTGAACATATTTTATAATCTATGACCATTGTTAGTTCAAATAATAAATTTTAATCCACTTTTCTGTGTATATACATTTAAAGCTGAATAAATTTTAATGCCTAGGTTTACTCATGATATATATATGTAAAGCATTTTTTAAGTGTTGTACTAAATATGCATTCTTTCCTTTTTTTCTTAAACAGGGAAACCTATAGAAAACTTTTATCTCACCTAGGACAGGCCGGACAACATGAAATACAGAGACTGGAAAATGACATTACATAATATATTTTATGATTTATTCTATTATTATTGCTGACTAAAACCACTTTGTACTGCTCCAATTTCTACTTTAATTAATTGTATTTATTTGTATTAAAAATAATTTCTAGGATTTTTTCCCTATATGGCTGTAAGTATAAATATACAAATAAGAAAATGAAGGTTTTAATTAGTAATTATGTAATAGGGTCCCTGGGACTTTATAGAATTGCAGTATATTTTGAAAAGACTTTAGTTAAAGCTTTTCTCAGTAAAAGTGATCTCTGCATATGAGTATGTACTGGTCCATCCATGGACTTGTCACTGTAATCTAACTTTGTCTGCAGATTGGTTTGCTGGGTTGTTTGTTTTAAAGTTTCTGTTGTCCTATGGTACTTTTTCAGAATACCTGGCACTTGTCTGGGGTTTTGTTGCTGCCTTTTGCGGAGAGCCAGAGGGATGTCAGAAGATGAAACCATAGTTATTTTCTTTTGTTACTGTGTGAGAGAAATTAATGAACCAAACCCTTCCAAAGCTTACTTATATTCTCAGCAATCAGAACCCCACTAAAGGATTATACAGATGATATCTTTAAAAAGTTTTAAACATGCCAGTAGTATTTATGTTTAGTTTCTAAGAATTGCAAGATGTTTTTCTTATCTTTTCTATAGGAGTTGTCATCAAGAAGCATATCAGGAGGAAGAACTACAGAGCCTTTAAGAGAATAAATAATATTCTGAAAAGTTATGATTGCTAGTAAGAGAAGCCTGAGAGGTCAGCAGATTCATTTCCTTGCTCTTAGAACTTGGCATCTTGTATGTTTACGGAGAACCTATAACTACTTTGCCGCTGTTCTCACATTTTTCCAGTTAGGCCTGACTGCTTTTGGTGATAACCATTATATGGTAGAAAGACCTTGCGTTCTAGTGCTTGGAACCCACATATGTTGTAAGCATAGCCCTGTTTTATGATCTTGAGCAAGTTACTTGCCTTTTGTGAGCCTATTTCCTTAATGGAGAAAAAAAAATCATTTTTTAAAAATTTCACAATGAATCAGTTTTGAGTAATATAGGTGAAAGTATTGGTTTATATTGTTTATTCATGAGATAAAAGTAAAGAATACCTCTCAAATATTTTTTCTTTAATGATGCATCCTAGGTGAATGACCCCTTTTTTTAGTTTTTCATACATATCATGTTTTAACTTAAAATATTTTTTTCCCTTCTTGGGATTATAATCTTCTGTCATTCTTTCAAGGAAACATTTTAGGATTGGACAGGTAGCTCAGTGGTGAAGCTTTGCCTGGTGTGCCCAAGGCCCACAATCTCCAGCATCACCAAAAAAAAAAAAAAAATCAGCCTGTTTCTGGCTCAAAAATTGTCTTTAAAAGTGAAATAGAGGCTGAGAATAGAGCGCAGTGCTAGAGTACTTGCCTAATATGTACATGCCCTGGACTTGATCCTGAGAATGGCAAATGGTAATGACAAAAAAATCACATCAAATAAATAAATAAAATTCAATGGGTGTTCTCTAGTTACTGTAACTAGAGAATCTCAAGGTATACCTGTTATTTTCATGACTAAAAATGGCCTGTGTAGCCCTAAAATCAACTGCCATTTCCACAAATAAAAGATTTCTAAGGCTGCTTAAAGACTTCCTAACAATGAAATTTTATTCTACTATACTAATGACTTATTGAACTTACTGAATAATAATATATGCCTTGAATGTTTTAGCAGTTAAAGTTTTATCTCTTTAAGGTATTGCCTAAAAGAGGTATATGTTGTCCTCCAAGGAAGATTTTTAAAGATGTGTTTCACAATCTGGCTTCTTGTCCCTCAGAATATGAAATATTTAAGGAATAGGAAAAGCTGCTTCTATCTCATGCATTAGGGCATATGTCTGTGGATGCTGAGAGTAATTAGAGCTTGTATGTAAAACCTAAAACAGCAAAAAGTGTGTAACAATACATTTTTTAATAGTTACATATAATTAAAAATTTTTTAAAGCTTTTCTCAGCTGAAGAAAACTTATGGTTTGGTCTTTTTCTGGAAAATTCTTCACTAATTTTATTAATCTTGTCTTCTTCCATTTCTGAACTTTCCCTTGTTACCCCTTTCTTCTATATTCACTTTTCCCTAAATACTCTGTAATTTCTTCTACAATTGTAAGGTAAGTTGCTTGCCTTTGGTCAAATCTGAGATAACAGTTTCATTTCTTAAGCTCTGTGGCATCTTTCTCTTGTCTTTCTGTCTCTCCCTCTATTTACACTGTATTTTGAGAGCATTGTCTTGTTTCTTGCCCCTGGTAGTAAGATATGGCCCTTCAACTGCTGTGTCTCACATTCCTTTAGTATTAAGCTGACAACACTGGCTCATAATTTTGTCATTCAGATCTATGTCTAATACTAGTTTTTTTGTAAACTAGTATTAGGCAGCCTGTTCAGCTGCTTGGGTCACTTTCTATTCTAGACTAACGCTTGCTTGCCCACTCTACCCAGGGGACACTGGGTTTTTCATTACTTATACTTGGAACTTGGAGGCATCAAGATCCCTCATCCTTCCCCACCTCAGTGCATGGACAGCACATGTGTGCCGCTCCCTGTCCCCTCCCAGTCTCCCTTCTCCCTCTCTTCCCCACCTCCTCTCACCTCTCCCTCTTCTCTCACCTCCTTTCCTTTCTTTCTTTCCTTTTCTTTCTTATCCCCTTGCATCCAAATTTGTTTAATTTTAGTCTGTTAGTATATGCGTGTAATACATAACATTTACATTCCTTGCAGTGTAAATTGATATGTGTAAAACAAGCTCCTTTTTTTAGCCTCTTTCCCCCTCCACTCTACTTGTAGATCCCCTACTTTACTTTTTTGGGGGGGAAGGGTACACATTTCTAGTACATGTTTACATTATTTATATGGAATAGGACATATACATAACACATCCCAATTCATGTTTTTAATCATCCACTGTCCCTCCCCTCTCTATGCAATACTACTTTTCCATAAAGAAGAATAAGCTAAATCTGTAGGAAAATAGATACACCTTGAGACCATAATGTTAAGTGAAGTAAATCAGACACACAAGCTTAAATATTACCCTGTTTGTGTTACATAAAAACTCAGAGTAAGTATAAAGAGCAAAATAAAAGAGAATAGGAAGGCGCAAAAGAGAACAGGAAGTAGGAAGATAAATCTTTCTGAGAAGGAAATCTCTTAAAAGGAAATGGAGAGGGTTTTGTCTTGTTTTGTTCGCTCTCAGGCACTAAAATCTCTCTCTACCTCTGGCCTCCTTTGTACAGTTTACCTTACAGTTCAGAAGTTAGCATTCCTGAAATACTCTTTCCCTCCTATAACTTTTCTGAAGCACCTCCAGCAACTCATTGTTTATAAGCAGATGTTCATACTCGGCAGTCTGGAGACCTGCACTGTGACTGACCTTTTCAAATTTAACTTTCCAAACAAAAGACTCAGCTGCTTTCTCTGACTGCCACATTTATTCTGTTTTCAGCTTCATTCACTTTGTCAGAGGGGAATACCATCTCTTTATACAAAAATTAAAGTAAGATACACTTCATTTGTTTACAAACTTGAAAATATTTGAGTAGAAAAAGTAACATTCTGTACTTGTGAGCATTCCAGTCAAACAGAATCTATGAAATTTGAGTATAAAAAATTATTAAAGGACAACAGGATGATGAAAAACACTTTATTAGACATTAATGATTTAAATTTTACTGTAACAATTAGAAGGTCTCCATGGGGGAAGAAAAAAAGCAGAGCCTATGCCAAAATTGTTAAGTATTGAGTTCATCTAACATTAGAAGAATTCTGTAGTTTAAAGCTTTGTCTTTATCTCCACTGTAGTTTCTTTTTTTAATCATATAGTCATATGCTGTATAATGGCATTTCAGGCAGTGATGGACCACATGTATTCCAAGGTGATCTCATAAGATTGTAATGGAGTTAAAAAGTGGCATGGCTTTTGTATTGTCACAGCCAAACATTATTGGTGTGTAGTGATGCTACTAGCAAAAACAAATCTGTACCACCAGTTTTAAAGTATAGCAAATACAATTATGTATAGTTTAATAGTAATAAGTATGTTACTGATTTATGTATTTACTATACCTTTTTCTCCTTTTAAAATGCTCTTAAAACAAATTTACTCTAAAACAGTATGTATTTTACACTGGCAACAGCCTCATACGGCTAATGATTACCCACATCTCTTGAGTATCAAGAGGCCACACTGATTTATACTCTATTCTGTAAATTTAGCCTGAGATGTTTACCTAACAATCATGCGGTTCTGTTGGTATGTACTCTCACAGAATATTTAACAATTAAAATTATATACTATATAAAAATTGGAGTTTCTACATTTTGGAAAGACCTTTAGGAAATCTAACTTCTCAAAATCCTATCTGAAATAAGCACTTGTGTTTCAAAGATAAAAGGTAAATACCATAGAACTTCACCAAAAATTGAATTGTTGAACTAAGCCACTGCTGTTTGACTGGTAAGGTTTTTTTAAAAATATAAATCTACATGTTCCAAAAACATTTCTTGCCTACCCATCCTACAGTTAAAAATACTGCCTTGTCACATGACAGTACAGTATGCCAGTATAACATGCTTTATTTGGTTAAAACTTGGGGCGCTACCAAAGCAACATATCCTTTCACATAGTTAGATATGAAAGTCGCATTTTTACATTATGGTAACCTGTATGGCAAGTTTACCAAAAGCATTGCCAAATGATTGTAATTGGCTTGTTTCTGCATATTAGAACTTCAGATGTACTTAAAATTATACCCAATTTATTGCATCTGTGAATTGTGCTTCTAGAGAGGTATTCTGGGCATTCTTATTTTATATGTAGTGTTTATAAAGTTATTTGTATATAGAATAAAAACTAAACATATTTGTATATATATACTTACGTATATGCATACAAAGAAAAACGTAACATCTTGCTCATAGTTACTCAACTTCCTTTTTATAAAAGATTTATTAGTGAAAAACAAAACAACCAATGAAACAGCTCCCCCAAAACACCACCCCATAATGTGATGCTTTTATACTTTGTAGTAAACAATAGAATGTCTCAGCTGTTGCTGAGACTGAAATGAATATATATTCACTTGACATATGAGGAAAACATGAAGAAAAAAAGCACAAAAAATACCGTAATCATAATCGAAATAGCATTTTAAAAAAATATGTAAGGAATTTTGTTGCATTTTATAATATATTAGTTTAGAGTAATGTGTTAACAGATTTTCTTCCCTCCTATAGCAAGAATACTGAGGTCCACATGGAACTACGTTTTTTCTTCTTTTTAAAAAGATCTTGAAGTGCTAAATTAAATCGTAAGAATTGTTGGAATCATAAGGTTTTCTATAGAAATTAAAATGTGTATTTCACTTAAATAGAAAACATGCACTACTTGAATAGTTTTAATGAAATTTGACTCATGACCAGTTGTAGTCTGTGAGTTTTTTTTCTTTAATAATTTTGAGGAAAACGTTCTAATTCTGTCATCTGAGTTTTGTTCGTTTTAGGAAAGGAACATCATACTTATGATGCTGCTCTTTTGCCATAGCTATAAAGGATGTGTTTGAATTCTATGCAAAACTTCCTAAAACTATGAGCTCAATTCTATAACATAAATGAATAATACATTATCAAGATTAGTAAGGGTGGTGGATAATTATGCTGATCTGTTTTATATGAATAGTCAGAAGTCTACACAGAAATAATCAAGGGTAGTCTCAGGCTATCTTTCCATTAACAATCACGCAGGCTTATTTTTAGACCATTTTGCTTTCACTCATTGAATGTAGGGTGAGTACAAATAGATTTTAATGGTTTTATAAGATAAAATGGCAAGAAATAAGCTTGTGTTCATTTTCTTGTTCATTTTAAGATATTTTAAAATTCAGGTGACTTATCTACCTTTTAGAGAAGCAGGTATCATTCTGAATATCAGTTACCATTTTTCACTGTTTAGCTCTTAAAGGTTTTTGTCTACATTTTGTTCCTTTTAAAATCTACCTTTCCTTATCTTTAGTACCCTCTCCTCTTCATTTTTGTGAACTTAATTTTTTTGTTTTTGTTTTCATTTTGTTTTGGTACTGGGAATCAAACTCAGGAACTGTTGCTTGCCAAGCAGGTGTTTATGACACTGAACTATATTCCCAGCTCACCCCTCCTCTTCTTTAATCTGAAAAAGTAAATTTAAAAGTTAGTAAATTTTGTACTTAAAAATATTTAATTTCATTCACTATTCATTTCATTCACTAACCACACTAAAAATGGTTACATTGCGTAAAATGACAGTTTCCTATTAGGGTGAGGTTCCTGAAGGATTAAACTGCTGATAGAAAAAAAAGTCAAACTAAATTTCCTTTTAATAAAGATAACCAGGGCTGAGGATTTAGCTCAGCGGCATAAGCGCCTGCCTTGCAAGCAGGTAGTCGTGAGTTCGATCCCTGGTACCAATAAAAAGGAAAAAGACCAAAAAAAAAAAAAAAAAAAAAAAGATAACTCCTGGTGAGCCTGGAGAAAAGAAACCTATGTTACACTTAACAAATGTATGTTCAAATGTAATTAAGAAGTTGTTTTTAGTGTTTTGGATGAAGCAAACCCAAAAACCTAGCCTAAAAATATTTTTATATGTTATTAAAAGTAACTAATATATATTGCTGGTGGTGAAGAATCCCACAAATACTCAAGATTTGACATAACCTTTAATGAAGTGGGAAACTTATTAGAACTGCCAATTCTAGGTTCAAATTTATGTCTAAGCACTTTATGTTACCATAATTAGTACAACATTTTAAAGTTTTAAAATTTCATTTTTCACTAAATGATTTAAAATAAGCTGTAGTTCAGGTGTCTGTGATGTTGGCAAACGTCCTTTTCCTGCTTAGAAAAGGCATGACTTTTTCACATGCTTTTCGGAATACCATAGCATGTTTTCTAAACTAGTAATTTCTAAACTTAAAAGTAATCTTCTACTTCAGTAATAGGGTTCTTGAAACAGTAAAATACCTCATAATCTAGTGGCTTTTTTAAAAATTAGGCAGTCAGCACACTAATCCTTATGATGGTCTTTTGAATTAGTATGGAAATCAATAATTATCCTCCTGAAAAGGTGAAAAAACTGAAGCACTATGAAGTTAAAGTTCTGGCTCAAGGTCAGAATAATCAAGGCAAAAATATGGGTATTCCAACTGCTGTTCTGGTGTACTTCTGTTATTTCTGTCACCTTGAATAAAATGTGGCACTTAAAAATTTATGATGTCATAATGCTGAATCTACTGAGCTAGACTGCATAACGTTAAATTTTTAAAAGAAAAATTATAAGCCCATGTTTAAGTAGGAAGGGTACATACAAGATTTTAAGATCATTGATGCCATTGGGTGAAATAATTTATCTTAAGAACAGTGTCAGGTTGTCCTAAATAGCGCTGGTTAGAAAGTGTGTACAAAGAATGCTTCAAACACTTGTGAAACAATAATGTACCATTAAGTTGGCACTAAGCTATACCACAGTACAAGTCATACATATCGTATGCTGACAGACACTGAGAAGGGTGATGTGGGTTCTCAATAATATATTTTAGAAAATTGTTCATTTTTTGCTAATATTTATCTGAATATAAGATATATAAAGCAAGATAAGGATGCATTAAGCACTCAGGCTTTTCATCCCCAGAATCCGAAAGTCAGGCCTTTGCTTTTCCCCTGTTCATAAGGGTATTAACAGAGCAGTTGCTTTTCAGATGGTGCCGATCCTGTGATGAGGCACTTGAAGAGTTTGAAGGTTCGGGCATGTGAAATATGGGGCTGGAAGGAAGCATGCTGCTATTCCATTGGAAGCAAAAGGAAGTGTAGGTCCATAGAAGACTTCTTCTTTGCCTTCCCTGCTGACATCTAATACCTACAAAAAAGAAAGGCTGATTACTCAAGTAAAGCTGTAGACGTGTAAAAGCAAACCTTAATTCAAACTCAGTTGTGTCACCGTTACTGTACCTTAGGGATTGCTGTTTGTGGTTGTTTTCCATCCAAGAAAGATTTAAGTCCCCACTAAGTGCTGGACTGTGTGTCCATATATACATCTATATGCTTATAGTCGTTTAATATTCAGAACAGTGGTAAGGTGGGTAATATGCAACTCTCTTTGGTTAAGTTACATTCAAACTACTTGTAATTTTAGGTCATATCATGATACCGGTTTGCAAATCTTCATCTGTGAAATGAAGAAAACGACCTTGCAGCTTTACTGTGAAATGACATCTAACTTAGCACCTGGTATAAAGTAGGTTGTTATAACACAGCTTTGTAGCAGGTTCCAAATTAGATCAGTCAGTTCTAGAAATTTCCTCTTCGAGCTGGAGTTCTGACTCATGTATGGCATGGCTTCTTTGTTAGTCTGTGCCTGCTGCCACCTAACTGAATCTGGTGTGGTCTGGAAAAATTCTTCCTTCAGGTTACTTGCCCTTTCACTTGTCAGACTCATCAGGTTCTTTCTAGCCCTCAGTTATCTTAATCTCTCTTCATTTGACTTTCTTTTAACCTTATTTAATGCCTTGCCTTCCTTGGATTGCATAATTTAACAGTCAGTAAAAACTGGCTGTTGACATTGCCTTTTTGTGATCCACCTTTGGGTCCATTTCCTCATCTGCATCCTAAATATAGGTTTTGGCCCCCTATTCCAACCACAAACTTCTTGGTATCCTTCAATAATTTTGTCTGCTCTCATGCCTTCATCATCACCTGCACAGTTAACTCAGCCTCTGATTCTAGTAATTCATTTTATTTTAGATGGAAAAAGTCCTTCAAATTTGGGCATCCAAGCTCACAAAAGGAGAATTACTAAGTTCCGGAATCAAAAATTCTTAGCTGTTTTTTTTTTTTTCTTAAATGGACATTTACCTGCCACAGGCTATTTGTTGAATAACATTTAGGTATCACTACCAATTTAAAGTGTTCCTTACATGCTAAATATAAACTTTCATCTTCTCATTAACTTATACAACTTAGGCATAACAGTTGTTTTAAATAAGTTAAGTATTTTCAAAATTTTAAGTTCAGTTTTACAAGTATCACTTATCCATTCCATGTAAATAAAAAAAAATTCTTCTGGGATTTTTCATTAGTATATATTTAAATAAGAAAAGGAGAAATCATTTCATACTTCTCAGAACTGGGATTCACTATTGTCTTCATTTACAGGAAAGCAAGCAATTTGGCTAGTAATAGTTGGAGGAGCCCAGTATTTGAGCCCAAGGAAACAACCCAGAAAAAAACAAGGTTTCAATGCCTTCATTATATCCCTCCCCCAAATGAATATATTTTCAGGAAGCAAAATAACCGAGATAGTCATCGAGGGAGCTTTTGTCTGGTACCCTGGGCCGACAGAGACTGCGTATGTTAAGCAGATGTAATGTATTTAATCTGAGAAGGAAAAAGGAAGCATTGGCAGTTTTTCTCCAAAATACTCCCCTGTAAACTGGCAGAAAGAAGCATTTGGAAGAAGGCAGTGCCAGATTGGCACCCTCCAAAAGGAAATAATAGTAAATGAAGAAAACAGTAGAAGTGATCCTGGGAACAGACTAATCACTTACACACTGCAGCAGCTGCTCCCTCATGTCCCCTTGTCACCCATGGCACACCAGATTAGAGTCAAACTTTGGTACCAGACATTGCCTATGTGTCCACAGGATGAAGTAGGGCACCTTCACTTTTTCAGGAATCTTATTTCCCCGATTTCCCATGAGTCTTTATTAACAAGGCCAAATCTCATTCTTTAAACAAGTACTAATTTGAGAACATTTCAGCTTTTCTCTTGTTTGGATCATCCTGGTGATGAATTAAAGTACACTAAATCAGCAATGCCAGGAAGTATTGTACTTTCTTAACATCTCACATATATCTTTCCAGGTGACTGATTTCTGCAAGTGCTTGTGACATGATCTTGGATTAGGGTCCAGGAGCATGCTAATTAGACAGATTACTGGCTGGTATTTTTAAAAGCAAAAAATGAGTTTAATCTTTCTGGATGTTAATGAGACAATCTCTGAAACGTTTGAGTATGGTCTTTAGCTATGCTCTCAGGTTAATAATTTGTAGCTCAATCATGGATTGAGAATTATTTTAAAGCATAAAAATATACATTTGATGTTATGTGCATACAGTTTTCAATACCACCACCCTGCACTTTTCAATCTACTGTCTTGTACTTAGGAATTTCTACTGTCTAGACATTTACGCATAAACATTATTCCAGTCTTCCATTAATGTCCTTTTTTGTTGATTCTCTCCCAGTAAACAGTAAAGAAGTGGCCTGCTTTTGAAGACTACCTAGCTAGTCTCCCCAACCATTAGTGTATTACTGTTAAGTGCACCAAAGCAGTAAATAAATAAAATATTTGAGTTAATTCATAAAAAGTACAACTAAGTAGTTGTCAGTAACTAAATGCAAGATACAAGCTAAGGGGGCTGGGGATTTAGCTCAGCGGCATAAAGCACCTGCCTTGCAAGCAGGCAGTCGTGAGTTCGATCTCCGGTACCGATAAAAAGGGAAAAAAAAGATACAAGGTAAATGGTAAGTCTATAATCTATGACTTTTTACCATAAATATTAAATGACAGTAATGCCAATATGGGCACATTATCTTTTAACAGTAAGAAGTCACTTCTTTAAAATATGTGTCAGATTTATTTCTGCTTTGTAGGACAGTATGCCAGCCAAGGAAATAAAATTTGCAAAAATATTTATTCTGTTCATCAAAATGGTTAACTGGTGTAGAACATTACCCATATGCTGACTTAAAAAAAAAACATTTTATACTGGAATATTCTATTAATGCACTCTCAGGTGACATTTAATCCAGTAATACAGTCGTTGAAACATTTTTACTCCATTTATTCACCTGTGAATATCCTCAGTGATTTAACATACACACTTGTACCCCTCTTCTCTTGAGGATAGGTTACCTGGTTGGGAAAAGCCAGATATAATTAGCAGTAAATTAGCATGTAAAGTAAGTGATGATGTTAAAAGTTCTTTGGGAACAGAAACCAGTGATATGACTATGAAGTTTTGTTTTGCTATTTAAGACTTCCAGAACAGGTATGGAACATTTCTGAACTATGGCAGCACTCTGGTATCCTGAACATTATATGTATGCATACTGTCTTTATTCTCTCATATCATGGCTTCAATTTGTTTTCTATTCCTTGAACTAGGTTGATTCTGAAATTAGAAATGTATTTAAAATTTACAAATTTGCTTCATGCTAAACCCAAAGCTACTTTCATTGTTCAAGTGTAAGGTAGCCAGTTCAATGGTTTATCAATTCTGAAAAGTAAAAATTAAGAGACACCTAAAAAAACAAAGCTGCTGGATACATGCTTAGATGAAGACTAGACGCATTCTGTGGGAGCAAACCCTTCACTCATTTTTTAGTCAAAAGACAAGACAGGTCGTGTATGAGACCCCGGTTAGTTAACTCAAAATCTTAGGCACCTGAAAGTGTGTGTGTGTGTGCGCGCATAGCTTGGGTAATTTTTCTTCTGTATTTCCTGCTTCATTAATTTTCTCTTATTATATATAACTTCTGACTTTCTCATTCATCTTCTAACTTACTAAGCTATATTTATTCTATAAGCATTGGTATGTAATGCCTTCATTACACTCCCACAGTTCTGGGAGATTTCTAGTTTCTGTAACTTTAGCTCAGAAATTATGTAGCAGTTAATAGTTTGTAGGTCAATTTTGGATTAATGTTTTACTTATAGATAAATATCTTAACTGTTCGTTAAATTCAAAGTTAATTGCATTGTATTAGTTAACATAACACTATATAATACTTTAACAACTAAATTTTTCTTAATCTTACCTCTTGTGTAAATGTTGAATGTGTACTAAGAAAAATACACTCTAACTCTTCAATGTAGAACTTACCCATTTGGCTAAACTGGTGAGTTATGGTTTTCACATCTATCCTTACTCTTGATTTTTTTGCCCCTAATATGTATGACTCAGAAATATGTTAAAATCTCCAGACAGACCTCTGACAAAACAGGAGGAAAAAAAACAGTATTATGAATGTAAATGGACAATTTAAGGACAACACACAACTATATACTAACAACTTTAAAACCATAGACAATGTAGAAATTTTTCTTTAAAATGTATACCTTAGAAGATATGACTGAATGTAAAAGAATTCAGTCTTGGAACTGTTAAAGATACTGACACAGTTGTTTAAGATCTCCCATAAAGATGAAATTAGATGATATGTATAGCTATAAGCATATATTTTTCTAGATGTCAGGAGACAGATCTGGCCTATTACATGTCAATATTTTTTTTTAGGAAACAGAACTATGGTAAATTATACTGAGAATAAATATATATCATACATATCTATATATATCATACATGCCATTGCTCTTCTGAAACACCTGGCTAACAACTTGCCAGGCCTGGGCTGCTCATAGACCAACATGCCACGGTTATGGGGGCGGGGGGGGGGGGGTGTTCTTTACAGATCAGCAAGAAACATTTGTTCACAGCTCCACTAGGAAGGAAAAACACACCTGCAGGTACCACTTACGGAAATGAACAATTTGTGATACAGAAAATAAGGCAGGAGCATGAAAAGCAAAGGACCTGAAGCCTCTTTCTACATGTAAATACATCCTTCAGCAGCTGCATTACAAAACGTAACCTTACTGAACCACTTGAGCAAACTTCAAAAGGAACTTCAACCACTCACCTGGATACAAGCCAGAGGCTCATTTGTCCAAATTGAATATCCACCAACTAAATATATTCTCCCATTATGGACAGCAACTCCAGATTCATTCTGGCCTAAAGTAAGGAGAGTTGAGTAAAAAGACAAAAATCCATCTCTCACATGTTTTAATTAATCCTTTTGCTACTAGGGGATAGACTTTATCCCTGTGGCACATTTTTATACTGCAAGAGATTTTTGCAGCAACAAATCACTGACTCTAGTACTTGGGAAAATATGTCACTATTTCCTAGAGAATGAATCTGTTAGGTTATAACCAGATCAAAACACTAATTACTCAGCAAACTATACAGCAAGAGTAAGCTATATGTAACTGAAGAGTTCTATAATATGTTATATGCCATTAATTTATAGTGGCAGCAATAAGATGTTTTAGAAATGCAAAACAATCTCTAATAGCCACAGAATTTTTAAGGCAAGTGTTTACACCTGTAAAGCAACAGCTGCAACCCTGAGAACACAATAAAGGGGAGCCATGCTCCCAGTGTGCCCCAAATGAAGACAGATGGCAGGAAAAAAAGGATAAAGTTGCTACCTTCCCTTTCTTTACATATACAACAGGTTTAAGATTATTTTAAAGTTCTTGAGCTAGAACAAGCCTAGATAATCCCTAGGTACTAACATGCCAAAATGATGAAAGGTTTCTCCTCCCATTTCAAAAAAGAGGACCTAATGACTCTACCACATATTCTTCCCTGGAGGCCATCAGAGTGAAAGAGTTTTTATTGATGAGCTGGCACAACATTGGCTAGGGTAATAAATAACCTGGGTCCTATAGCAGGCAGAATCACAGATTTGGGATCAAGGATCTGAGCTACCTCTAAAACTGACAGCTGAATACTTACAATGGTTTTCAAAAATACATGTCTAAATGCATGTCTGGTTATGCTCTCAACGTGGTTTCCCCCAGTAGGAACTGTGAATGATTGAGTACCCACTCTGCATATTAAAATGTCTTCAGGAACTAATCTAAGCCGTTTGTGATTTTTCTATTTGAGCAGCACTGGAAGGATTCTGATCATTTGTGGTTGTTGATAATGCAAGGTGATGAGAGAGAAAAAGTTACCAATTCCATATAGAAACACCAGGAATATGTTTTTTACTGCTTCTTTTTCATTTATCTGGTACAAAATTAGGCCATACCTAGGATTGCCCTGTGGAAATGCTTACATGAGGATGTGTGGCTATAGGCATAGCCAAACTCCTCTGAACAAAACGGTAAGGTTTAATTTCAAGGAGACTATACCAAATGAATAGTGACAAATAATGAAGACCTTTCCTCTAAACTCATAAGAATAGATGGGGACTAAAGAAAGAAAAACTAAATTGCTTCTGTAAAGAGTAACTCTTTCTGTACCTTGTTACTCCTGCATGTATCAAAATTCTGAAGTAAATATTGGCTGATTATGACATGCCTTCCTAGCCACATGAGAATATGCACAAAAGTAATTCAGGTCCTGAGTAAGTAGGTGCCCAGCCACTTGTTATGAGGCAATGATACACACCTTTCTGCTTAATAAAAGCTAGCAGCTCTACCCATTTTGCAAATTTAGAGATGCATTAACACTAAGAAAATAGGTTTGGAAACTTCTTGAATTTACTCTTATTTTTCATTTAATTAATCAAAGATACTTGCCAGTTAGCAGATTGAAATTACAACGTGTCCACTGGTCAGTGTCAATATTGTAAGAATCTATTTGACGTACAAGGATCCGGTCATTATTGTAGTCAAGGTCATTGCCTCCAAGGACATAAAGCTTCCTTTGGACAGCAGCCATGGAATGATAGACCCTTCTCTGCAGCATGGGGCTACGGCTTATCCACTTATTCTGAAAAATAAAATTCAAGTGCATTCTGTTAATAGGAGACCTGCTTGGTAGAAAATAGCAGTGGGTGGCTCATTAGTAGCAGGAACCCTAATGTTTATCAACTACATTCTGTTTTGCATTTCATAATGAAAACATTAAAATTTTACCAGGGATAACATTAAAATTTTTCAAGACTGTTCTCTTACCCAATTCAGAGAATTTATTCGTGGAAATTAAGAGTGACAGTGCTTGGCTTGTTACACTGTGAATATTAATGCAATGTTTAAGAAAACAGACTCCGGATCCAGAATGACTGAGTTATCTGACCCTGAGCTATTTTCTTCCACCTCTGCTTTATTTCTATATGTAAAATGAGGATAATACATATCTGAAAGTCTGTTGTAAAGATTAAATAAGCTAATACACAAAGAATTTTTAAAATGGCTAGTGCATAACAAATGTCCAACACGTTCACTTTTTAAAAAATACTGTAATAATAATCATTGGGTGCCTAGGGCTCCTAGATAAATTTAGGTGAGGGTGACTTTGCTGCTGTACTTTGCAAATTCACCTGAGATCTGTGACTGAGTTAAGATTTGATTCAGTAACAAACCTCCCATGTTTTCTTTTTATTAGCTTCTATTTCATATTTAAAATTCATAATTTAATATTCACCATAATTGCATCTGCCCAACTGGGAAAAGTTAGTTCCAGGCACCCATCTATTAGTATAAAACCAAATTTTGTATGAGAATTTTAGAGAATAATGATAATATTCATATTATTTAATATTTATCTCTTAATATTTGGTTCTAGGTCACCTTCTATAAGGAGAAGGGTATGCTCGGGCCCTTTTAAAGTAACCCTTCTGTTTTAAGTGTAATATGAATTACAAAATTAGACAAAAATCAAAGCTATATATCTGAACTAAGTAATTTTCAGGTAAGTAAACAAAGAAATGGACAGGTAAATAAACCTAAACATTTTCCTTTTCCATAAACACTAAACATACGGGAAGAATTCAGTTTCCTTTTTGCCAAGAAAAATTTGGATTTTGACCAGAAAAATCTTATGATGTTTTGAATACATAGAATTTCACCAGTTCACAAAGCTGCGAGGAGAGAAGCAAACAGTAAACCTGTTTTATAAACATTGGCGTGCACAGTATAGGCATACATTTACTACAGGCATATCTACAGCATCTTTCTAATATCTCATTTAAAGATGTACTCCAGGAAAAGAAAAGGTGTAGAGTTTGAACATTATTCTCTGTTGTAAGTCTCTTCTTAATAAAATGGTCAAGCTTTTATTTTCAGGTATTTTGCTAACAAACATCTTTAATGTAGTATACTTGAGTAAATTTTAAAACTTTGATGATGCTTTTCTTAGGTGCTGTCTTGGAGACAACCCACTAGGTATTAGGAATCAAGTTTACATTAGCAGTCTAGTCCCCTGCATGGACTCTAGATGCCATCTGGTTTGCAAGGCCTGCCTATATCCCCTGATTATATCTTTAGCTTCCTTTACTGCAGTGCCTGCCAGGTGAGCCACCAACTACTGCAAAGGCAAAGAAACAGAGAGGCCTGATAGGGTCACTCCTAATAAGCTAGCATGTGAATACTAATCAGTGGTGGGGAAGCAGAGGTCACCCCGTCTGCCTGTTGGCAGGTAGCTGTGTGCTCTGTGGCAGATGGCAGGCATTATCAACTCTCCACACAGCCTAGAAGAGAAATAAGCACTGGGGCTGAGTGATAGAGTTATTGAGATTCCGAGCAAGATGCAAGCAGATGTGATGTTTGCCAGTACCCACCGTAAACAATATGCCAGCAGAATTTTTAAAAAGAGCATGTGTGTACAAACATGAAACAGAGCTCATTTGAGCACTGTTAACATCCTCCTTTTTAACCATGTATGCACCAAACTCAAGACGCTGTAATTATTCCTTTTGAGATCAATGACTACTGGACATTTGTTTTATGAAATTTATCAAAACAACATCAGGAATCATTTTGTGAAAGGAATCTCGTGTTTAGAATCAAGTAATTATTAAAATAGATACCAAATACACTGAGCGCACTCTCAACACACTTTGGTAGCCAGTCCTGACTCAGACTGCCAAAGTCAACCTGTCTCATATTCCAATACTCTTACCTTCAGCTGATGACTATTAAACCTCCAAATTAATAAGGATATTGTCGTAATTTTTAAAAGTTTCATTTTCCAAATCATAGAAATGGAAAAATTTGCTGACATCTGCCAAAGCCATATATTTTGGTAGAAAAAAAATAAAAATATTTCTTCTTTTGAGGAAGAAACCATTAAATATGCATGAGAAGTGGATAGAAGAAAGGGCTGGCACCATCACAATGTGTCTAATTTAGTCCCTAGCTGTTAAATGGGAAACAAACTTTCAGGTACTTCAGATATCTTCCAGGTATTATTATAGAGTACTTTGGTTGTTTTAACTTAATATTTGATTTGAAAATTAAAGTACAAGCATGTTGCCCACCTAAAATAGCATCCCTTCCAGGACAGATATAGAACAATCAAAATCCTTCCTGTGTTATGCAAAACTGAAGTGGTAAGACATTGTGCATAAGACTGGAGTGTAAGTTTTCTAACAATAGAAACTGAGAGGCCGTTTACTCAGATGCTTCCCTCCGCATAAGCATGTATATGTATATATGGTTGGCCTTCCAATTTCTCAGTCCTGTGGAAATCTTTTAAAATTCATTTTAATTAAGGTAATAAGCTCTTTATATGTGATTCTTACCTGGTTAGGTTCATACACCATTAATCTGTTTTGATACTGTGCTGTGTTAGTTACTCCACCTGTAACGGATTAACATATTAGAGCTTTTCATGAATAAGAAATAGGATATTTCAACATAAGAACAAGATACAATAAAGGAAAATTAAGTACTGTTAAGAGGCTATATACCTTTCACAGGTGAACCTGTCTTATAGTTAGGAAGCTTATTGTTGAAGTAGTTTAAAGAAATTCTTTAGCAGTCCAGTTGAGAGCTAACTGAAAGTACACTGACATTACCAAGAGGTTCCCAATTCTGACACACTGCTCTGTGTGACTAGAACAATTTGCAAAATATAGGGAGAAAGAGGTGAGCACAAAGAGAAATCTACATAATTATGTTAGGGTCACAGCTATATGGGAAATTCTTGTCCTCAGCTAGATTGGCAAATTTAAAGCTCCAACTTAACGTAATTCACAAAAAAGAAATCCTTATATATGGATGAACTATATAGCAACAGGCATTACTCATCAGAAGGGATCTAGAGCTGATGCTATCCAACAGAATATAACAAGAACCATATAAGTTACATGCAATAATTTTATTTACCTCAGTATATCCAAAATATTATCATTCCAATATGAAATCAACCAAAAAATTACTGAGATCTTTTATATTCTTTTTTTGTACTAAGTTCCCCAAATCCAGAGTGTCTTTGTATCATCCCAGAAAAGATGGGGGGCAGCGTTTAGCATCATGTCCCTGGTACACTCCTTTTGTGTTCCCAAGACTTTTGCCAAGTCAAGGGGTCTTAGCAATCCACCAGGAACTGGAACGTCTAAATGGTATAATCTGAGAGACTGGAAACAGGAAGCTAGAGTTACTTATAGAAACTGCCTTCCTGCCCATCTGCTAAATCAGCTGTTGCTTGTAATGTTGGGCATACAATGGAGCATAGCAAGGTAGTGATGTCACTGCTATGTAGTCTATAAAATTCCTTCCCTGTAATAACTAAGTGCAGAACGGGCCCTCTGAGTGCTACAGTCCTTTGTACTTCGAGCTCTCTCTAGCTGTTTTCTTGTCTGGGCCTCAGTCCATGGTGACTTCCCTTCTAGCCCACTACCACAAGTCACTAGCAACTTCCTGCCTGCTCAGCTGCCTAGGACCTTCTGACAATTAACTAGTCCAGCTTGTTTCTCCTAGACACTATTGGTATGTTCTGATAACTTTCTTGTCCACCGGACTATTTCTGCTATGAAGGCTCAACTTTACCTTTTCCTTTTAATCCTTAAGTAAATTTTATCTCTCAGTCATCTCTGAGTACTTTCTCCCATCTGTCAGTAATGTATTTCACTGGCCCCACATACCTGGTATAACACAAATTGGCCGTATTTCAAATACTCAATAATACATCTGTGGCTAGTGACTAACAAATTAGCACAAATGTGAAGTTCTCCATTCCAGTGTTGTAGTCAAACAAAACTTGATAATATTTAGGTCCAAGTGTGCTTAATAAAAACCCACAAAAGGAACCAATATGCTACCACATATAATAGATATCTGTCCTGGCGTGATGGGTCATAAATTGAGAAACACACACTAGAAGTATTTTATAAAATTACCTTAAGCTGTATGTATAAGTTGTGTATGAAATGAATTAATTTTGTATGTAGACTTCCATCTCTAAAATGTCTCATGTATAAACAAATATTACAGGATCTGAACTAATTCCAAATCCAAACACTTCTAGTCCTAAGCATTTCAGCTAAGAGATAACTTCTTTTCATGCATGTTGTGTACAGTGAGTCCTACAAAACCAGAATTTTTAAACACTTAATTTTTATCAGCAAATGGAAAACTTCTGAAGAATGAAACACTACAGTGAAAAAAAATTAGGTGAAAACGGGAATATAAGGAACAAAAATACTGCCTTACACATAGTTGTAGACACTACTGTGAAATGAGTAACATTCTTACTTTGATAAGTATCACAATGGAACCAGGTAATTTTTTAATAAAGATCTGAAATAAGCAGGGTAAGAAATAAGAAAATTTTTGAATTAAAAAATATATGTAGTAGTACACAGACAATAAAGGCTTTAACATCCCCCCGCACCCAGTTTTAGTCTCTTCCTGCCACTAAGCCCTGAGCTCCTTTTATAGGCTGATTACAAAAGCTTAATTATAAATTTTTTCTCTACGTTTTTGACATGTAAGTGATGTAAATCATGTTTTTAAAAGACCACTCACCACTTTTAACCCTCAAACATCTTCAAGGGGTTAGGAGCCATCCCTTTGAAAAGGTAATTATCAAGAAGACAGTGCTCTATCTCCTAGTTACTGTGGTAGAATAGTAGTCTAATTCTGATTGGCACAAATTAGCAAAAACGGAAAATTTATTTTGATCAACCACCTTCTTAAAACTTCTTGTTTCAAAGGAATTGATTCCAAACTTCATCTCATCCCTTCTCTGCTGAAATAGTTTTGAATGAAATCTTCCTTGTCTATTTAACTCTTCCAGTGCAATTTTTGTTTTGACAGTTCATATGTTCATATAGGTCTCTGCCATCAACTCCATGACCAAGAATCAAGTCAACCAAAGTCAAGAGGATCAGTGCCTAATTCTCAAGCTGAAAAAAAAATACTGATGGGTACATAAACAGCAGAAACCTACCATGCCAATCATTCCTCTCACTAAACCCTAGTAATGAAATTATATCTTTAACTGACTATGGCTATCACTAGGGCTGTATTTTCTTTAATTATGAGGCTCTTGGCCATTTTTAAGATAAAAAAATCAAAAGCTTTGGCTGCAGAGAACACCCACATAACAAAATCTGAAATGCCTAACCTCAAAAAAAAAAAGTTTTCTCTGGATTCTTAATTCAATGTTTCATTTTTAAAAAAAGAAAACACAGTTAAGAAAGCTGAGGATGAAATACCTAGAGTGAAGATATGTCAAAATAAAGAAGTATGTTTGGTTTTATTCCCAATCTTTTTTCTGATTAAAAATGGAATATTCAATAATTCTTGCTCAGCATAAACACAAATAAATCTACTGAAACCACATGAGTGTTCAAGGTTTAAATGATTGCCAGAGTTTTAGATCTGGGCCATTAACCACTAGATTAATGTCCAGCTCACTTATAATCGATTTTTCCAGTTGAGAGAGTAGAGTAAAATTTTTACCTTTTAAAACTTTGAAAGTTTCTCTATGTTTTAAAAATATGTAACTAAATTAATACCAACTGCAGTAAACTATCTGCTTTGTGACACTATTTAAAAATACTGTACTATTGTATGTATCAGACTATCCTCATCACAGACTAAACATATAACCAATAGATTTGAATGAGGCTGTTATATTTCCTCTCCCAAACAGAGCACATAAGTTTATCACTACGCTTTTCAGAATTACTTTTTACTAGCTTCCCCAGATGCATCTGAATACATTTTTTTATAAATCTGTAATCCGTAATTAGATTCTTTATCCTTACATACAAATTTTCACTCACATGACAATGTTTAGAAATGAGATATTAGATTACAAGTTGGGAGTAAAAATTATAAGTCCTATTTAGTTATTTTGTTCATTACCTCTAAAATGTAGGACAACAGGAGGGCTAACAAACAGTGCTGTAACTTTTGCATGTCAGGACTGTAAAGGAAAATCTTGGAAATTAGTTCTGTTGCTTTCTCCTTTGAGGTAATTTAAAAATCAACATACAAATTAAAATACTCTCAGCACAAAAAATAACTTTTTAGAAAACCCAAGTTTTAGCCTACATTTCTTTTACAGTGTTACTCACTTGCAGAGCTTTGGCATTACATTCCCTTCACATAACACTCTTCTTCACTTTTAGATTAATCTGCTGAAATGAGATGCTAAGGATTTGCATACAGATTTGACTATACAAAAATAGATATGGAATTAATAACAGTCTCTATATGTTTTAATTTCTCCTACACTGGAGTACCCTTGCCTGCAGCAGTGTTCCTGGCTTTGAAAGTCATCAAGCTGATTTGTCTGCTCTGGGTTATGATGCCACATGCTGCTATACTGTCCCCTGCAATCAAAGCACTTGCAAAGATAGATTCCATGCCTTCCTCTATCGAGTATATTTTATAGATTGGCAGTTTTGATCTCCCTCCCCCACCCCAGGGGGGATAATCTGCATCTTAACAGCTTTCTATAGATATATCTGTCATTAAATATGCCATCTCATATCAGCATCCATTTTTAAAACCAAGTTTTCTCTAACTTTGAAGTGCTACAAAGTTAAGACTTTTCAGCCAAAATTGAAAATGAGCAGCCTTGTGTTATACGTTTGAACTGTTACTTAGAGATATACTGCAGGTTCCCCCAAAGTCAAGTCTTTAAAAACTGCCAGAAGGAATGAAAAGTTACCACTATGCTACTAGTAGTGAGAAATGCTTTCTGTCATCAAGACAAGAGCGAAACATTTTTCTTAATCTTTCCTGTACCGTTCCCTACAAAATGCTGAGACAAATAGATGACTACATACCAGGGAGATGCTGATGAGTAACTGCCAAACAAGCAATCTTTGTCTCTGCTACCAATATCACTAATTCTCACAGTTTTTAAAAGCACTGACAGTATCTATAAAAACAGGGTGATTAGGAAAACTGCTCTCATTATACTGTGGTCAAAATGGGTCGAGTCTGATGGCTCTGTCGATTTGTTTTTCAAAGACAAAAAAATACCTTGTTAGTAAACAGTCTTACACTAAACTCCAACAGTAGAAGCCCATGGTTCCCAATGCAGTGCTAATGCATAGCTAAGACAGAGCAGGGTACAACAAAAGTGACCCATCACTTCTATGCTCTTAGGTTGCAGACTACTCCAAATTAGAATTTTGTCAGAAATTCTGGATGGAGAGAAATCATCTTAAATTTTTCACAACTCTCATGGAGGTTTGCAGTTCACACTTTCTGATGGTCTAGAGGAAGAGTTTCAGGACAGGCTGTGACATTAACATGAGCTCTTTATCACTATGTCCCTAAGGGTGCATTTACCATAGCCAATGTCAAGTTGCTCATATGCTGCATGGAGATGACTCT